GTTCTCGAGCCATACTTGTTGTTGCCTTCAAGATGCTCATGTTGGTGAGAGTTGTCACATAGACATCCTTGGAACACGCTCTCTGCGGCGAGCAATGTGGTGACATAGAGAGAAGGCTTCTTGTTAGGAAGGCCGCTTTCAGCATCCTTGTAGCCAACTTGACATCCATCCACACGGATGGCCAGCAGTGTGTTATCTTCGATGTACTTGAGGATGTCGGCACATTCAGGCTGTTTGAGCCATGTTGAGCCCAAAGGTTGCTCGATGAAGACGTGCCTTTTGGCCTTGATACGGTCTTTTGTGATCTTGTTGACGAGATACAGCGTGGGCTTGTTGGCTTCTCGGAGGTCCATAACGGTCACGGCAGCGTGTCCACCTCGAGCTAGATTGAACGAGCTCCAATTTCCCCATGGACCGCAGGCCTGGGTGATGACAGTCAGGTAGGGGTCTTCCACGAGGAGGTCATGGCATACCCGCTTGTAACCCTTGGAGGAGTTGGCGTCCCATGTAGAAGATGATGAATCCAAGGGAATACCGATGGAGAAACCCACCATGATGGCCAAGAGAGATAGGCCCATCTGACCAGCAAAAAGCTGTTTCATCCAAGTCTTGCCATAGGGCGGTTTGGTGGACACCTTCTTGAAGCTACCAGAGATGACCTGACGGTGATGCCAGTCTTGGCCATGGAGTGCATTGTCCCAGGACTCAATCTTCTTACTTTTCTTGTTCGTGGCCTTCCGGACGATGAACTGGTCGGGGTTGTCGTCAATGAAGTTCACATCCTCACAGATGAGACCATGTTCACCAGGAGCCGGTGTGGCTGAACCTCGAAGGTCACGTTCATAGGCATCACGGATGGCACGAGCTTCATCAAGAAACAGTTCACGAGCCATCATCTCGTCGTGGTTGTCGTCAGGATTCATCCCTTCATAGTCATGGACCATGTCTGGATCGATGCAGTCGTCCAGTTCTGACTGTGTCGGAGATTTTGGGGCGATGTCCTGAGCCATTGACTCCTCATGATCATTGCTCTTGTGCTCGGGTGACTGGTCCTGGATGGAGTCCATGTCAAAATCGAGGAGGCTGACAGCGAGATGGCCACGCGACGTGCGGACCAAAGGAAGCCCTGAGACACCGATCTTGTTGAAGCTCACAGTACGGGCACCAATGTCAATGACAGTTTGAAGCTCTTCCATGAAGGGTCGTGACAGGAGTAGAGGAAGTCCTCCGGGTGCTTCAGCGCTGTGGAGCTCACCATTGACCTTGCTGATGCCGACCGGAAAGATCTTGACGGTGTCACTGGCGATCTGGCCTCCGACGCCCTTGAACGATTGTTTCTTTAAGCGTCGTTGAGAGGAGAGACCAATCTTCTCCAGTTCAGCTTCAAACGCTGTTGCCCACTCAGCACCATGCATCGTTCTGGTGCAACCCGAGTCGAGGATGGCCAAGCCTGGAGGATCTTGAGCGCTGGAGGCATAGGTGGTCTCCATGTCCAGGCGTTCATGGTCATCTGCAGCCTCGTGGGTCATGAGGTTCTCGAAGGCCATGAGAACTTCAAAGTCGTGCAGCTGGACCATCTCAGGGTGGCCATCTTGGACAGAGATAGGGACCCGCATGTGACGTTGTGCCACCATTTCATCAGGGTTGGCTGTCCTCTTTGGTCCGGAGGTTGCGCTGCCCTTCCATTGCCTCATGGTTGAACTGTGAAGCAGTCGCACTCTGCCGAACAGGTAGAAGGCGAAGCGGTAGGTCTCCGGCGCCATGGGCTGATCTTCAAGAGCCATCTTCATAGTTTGGTGGCAGAACACACTGGCCTCTGCTGATGAGGCAATGGAGGCATAGTCATACCCTTCATATGGTGTTCCAGGCCCAAAGACAGAGGTGTCACCAGGAAGTGGCTGCAGGATGTCATAGTCAGCCTCGGCCAACGGAGGAAACATAGGCAGCTCAACGGATGGAGATATCAGAACGCCATATGCCCAAAAGCGTGGTTCAGGAGAAGCACCAGGGCGGACAATCCGTGCCGTAGCTGATGAGGGCGATGAACCATCCTTAGATCGACTTGCGTGTTCCCAACTGGCTGTGCTTGGAGATCCGGGCTGTCGTGGGTAGCCTTGTGGAGGTTGAAGTGCTTGTCGCTCCTCATCTTCGGCCAATGCTCTGTCTCGCGACTTGCAGACATTCGCAAAGAGCTCACGAGATCTTGCGGCACGTCCCCAGTTGGTGCATAGTGCAATCTGAACCATGTAGCGCCACAGCTGAGAGGCGTCCTTGCGCTTGGCCACGATGACTGTCTTGTCACAGTCCTTGTCCTTGCAGGTCACATGTCGTGTGTGGCCATTTGCGCCTCGATGAAACTCACGTTCATTTCCACCAAAATACGAGCTGTGCTCACAGAGTTGGGTGTCCTTCAGCACCATCAGCACTTCACGTGCTGGAATTGGAGAAACATGCATAGTGAAACTTGCTCCAGAAGTGGTTGCAGGTCCATCAATCTGGTAGTTGCGCACGGAGTCGATGTAGTGTGGCAAAATGCTCACAGGCTCAGTGGGAGCAGTCACTGGCTTCTGCTCGACATCATTGGGCTCTTCCAAAGTGTTGCCCGGCGCACTCTCAGTGATCTTCTCATCCGCAGGGACTTGCTTATTCTCAGAAAGGGGGGCATTCGATGGCAGCTCGTCAAAGTCAGTGGCCTTGACATACTCAGGAGCTGTGTCATACTCAGGAAGGGTGAAGGTGGCGTTGATCTCCTTCTCATCATCGGATTCGATGCCTTCATGCAAGACAAAGAAGGTCGTCTTGCTGTCACTCTTCTTCTTCGGAGGAGAGAGTCCAGACCTGTGCGATTTCTGCTTCTTCTTCTTGGTGTTGGGACAGGCGTCATCACCAACCCAATGGCCTTTCTGGCCGCAGCTCGTACAGGCAGTGACAGACTTCAGGAACTTGACGGCGGTGTTACGTTGTTCCTTGGCCTTGGCATCGAAGGAGATGTCACCTGAAGCTCGGAAGGGCAGTGACTGAGAGGAAGCTGGTGATGCCTTTCCTTTCTTGCCCTTTCCTTTTCCCTTGCCCTTCTTGAACTGCATGACAGTAGCCAGGGCTTCGGCCACCTCTTCATTGCCTTCAGACTCTTGGAGGTCTTGCGCAAGTGCCTCCAAACCATCATCTTCCCAGAAGGCTTCTGCACCATCGAAGTTCGGTGCCTCATACTCTTCATCCTCGTCCTCCATGTAGGCCTCATCATCGTAGTACTCGAAGGCATCATCGTAGCCCTCGATGTCAATCTCGGAGGTGAGGACATGCTGAGGTCGGCCACGGCCCTTGCCCGGCTTGTAGCCGCGGCGGAAGAGAATGCCAGAGTCTCTGGCAGCTGGTGTAGTGCGGCCACAACCAAGTAGATCTCGCCGGTGAACTGGCTTGCCTGAAGCCTGAGGAAACTGAATCCTCATCGCGTTGGCGATCTTCTCAAAGTCGTAGTCGTTGTTCACCGAGCTGAGGACCGAGACTTGCTCCTGAGGGCTAAGACCACCGAAGAGCAGCAGCATCATCGCTCGGAGGCTTTTGGGCACTGAGGTGCCACTGCCGACTTCTTCAAGCCGTCTGAAGTCTTGTTCTCGGCGGATGATGTATTGCTGCATCGATTCTTGGGGTCGTCTCCACACCTGGGGGCTGTAGAAGGCGGTGATGAACAACTCGTTGATCTTCACAGGCTTGACAGCGGCAATCTCTCCCTTGAGCGTCTCCAGAAATGCCCTCAGTCCCTTGTCGGTGGGATTGCCATCGGAGTCTTTCGTCTTGATCTTGGTGTGCTCCAGCTTTCTCACGGCCTCGTAGGCCGCACCACTCAGCCCTGCACGGAGGTGAACCGCCGTGGCGGCTTGGAGTGCTGGCTGACCATCTCTTCCATGCCATAGATCCCATGCCCTTTCTTCATACTCATCATAGAGCTCCGGGTCGCCGTTGAACTGCGGCACACCATGCCGATCAGTGTCAATGCGCTGAGCCATCAGGTAGTAGGCGACCAGGAGGGCGTAGTGCAAGCGTGCGAGGTCCGGCCCGGCAGGGGCGGGACCTCAGAGGCGAGCGGCCGCCGTCGGCCGCAGGCGAGAGGCGGCGGCTGCCGGCAGCGCGGCAGCAGCGCGCAAGGGGCGCGCCGGAAGCGCCTCGCGAGAAGCGCCAGGCGAAAACCTATCACAGATAGGCTCCGCCTACCATCAAAAGCCGGCGTGCGGCGACGCGGCAAGATAGCACCGGTTTTGTGCCGAAAAGGGCGCCCTGCGGTCGTGAGGTGACGTGGGGACACAAGGAAGGCTGCAGCTAGTTCATGGGGCCATGCTTATGCTTCTGCTGTCATGCTGGTTAGATTCACACATAGTAATTAGTCATACCATGTCATACATCTATGGACGAAAGAAACATTAAAGGAAACAAATCATAAAGGTCATACAACGTCATACATCTACTTGGGGACCGCTTCTTTTCTTTTCTTTGTTGGCTTTGCCCAAGCGTTGGGGACCGGTCATCCCGGCAAGCCGAGCGCAGCGCCGAGCCGTGGAGCTGCCGTTTTTGAGGCAGCGCGGGGGATGAGTCACCGGTGCAACGGTTGTCTTTGCTGCAAGGGCTGCTGGCAGCAAGCCACAGATATCAGGCGCGGTGTCGTTTCGTCGTTCGGACTGCTGAATCCCGGGGGAGGTAAGGAGGGTCACATGCAAAGAAGCAAAAAAAGGAGTCTTGGTATCAATCTCAAGAGTTTCCCCTGACAGGTGAAGCGCCTTCGACTCTGGTGCGAACAACAGCTCTGTGAATCTGGGCAGATCCAACCGATTCCTAAAGTTCACGGGGGGAGTTTGGTCAGTTTTTTCAAATGATTTATATTCTGTTGTATAGGCAATTAAGACGTGTTTGGTTGGTTTGCATTTCGTAGCTCTCCCTTTTTGTTCATTTTAGTATTTTACTATGTTTTGCCTCGAGATCCCATGAATTTCCATGAGGTGTTTCTCATGCTGCCGCGGAAAAAGATGCCCCATCTGTGCCCGGTTGCTGAGGAGTCCATCACGGTGCAGAAGGTCTGTGACGTGCTGTGCCAAGCACACCTCTACGAGGCCTCCGTTGGTCGGACCGACCATGAACGACCGCAGCGCCGCAGCGTCGGTCGAAGACACGCCGCGGAGATGGGCGGCTCTTTGAGATCTGGTGAGTCGATGCAGATGTTCTCTTTTTTGGAAGCGCTTCTAGGTTGGAGGCCATCGCTCTTAGGTTGGAGGCCATCGGAGAAGCTTAGAGAACACTGATGCTAGAAGGAGACAGGTTTGAGCTCAACGCTGGGCTTTGGGTTTCACCTGTGAGGCCAAGTCATTGGAGAAAGCATGCCTTGCTTTCATCAAGAACCATATGGAGGAGCATCCAGCTGGCCATGTTTTGTATCTTCTGAACAGATAGGCAATTCGTTTATCAAAGCTTCTTTGGAAGCAAAAAGCAATCTGTAAGGAATCTCTGTCGAGCGTCTTCGCTCCTTTAAGGGGCTAGACAAGTAATATAGAAACCGATGTTTCTTTCCAGGTACAAACCTTGGCAGCCTTGTCAAGGCAGTCAAAGAATAGCTACCCTTCCGCAAGATTGACCGTCCAACACGACACAGAAGAGTCTGTAAAGAAGCGGCGCTTGATCTATTCCAATTTGCGCTCACCCAAGACCTGCTGCAGACTTGCACTCGAATGGTGGGAGTGATCACCTGAAAACCAAAATCTTTGACCAGGAAGTTGTAATCACTACTTCCTTTGGACAGCTCAGCAAAGACTGGCCACAGGCAGGGTGGACGAGTGAGAGTACTCTCGGTTTATTGAGAGTACTCTCGTCAGTGGACCTGAGAGTTGGGTTGGTTTTGGAGGGGTTGAACTACCGAGACATCAGACGAGAGACATCAGACGAGAGACAACGAGACAACGAGAGCAGCCTGCTCGTGGCGGTATCGGTAGGGGCATTGATTTGTTCAAAGGGCTGAGCCAAAGAGCTACAGGCTGCATTGAATTTGCTAGTAACAAGGGCATCGCTACGAACAGAGCAAGGACGCTACTAGTAGCTCCTGGCATTGCTACTAGTAACAAGAAGCTACTAATTTGGCCACACTCGTCAGGTGATGCTCAAGATTAGCATCTTCACTGCTGGCCACCTGTCAGCAGCTTTCCACACTTTCCTGATCCCAGAACTGCTGCCCAATCAAGAGGAGGGGGGCCATGGTATCATGGTCAAGCTGATACTACTGTTGATACATTATAATACATTGTCTTCCTGTTGAAGTTAGATGCCCCCGAGGCTTGTAACTCGGCATAAAGCCACCCTCCCTCCCTCTCTCTCCGTCCCTGATTTGACCTCTTCTTCTTGTGTTGGGTTCTACAATGCACCGTGGTTGTTCTTTGTTGCACTGCATCACTGCACCTGAGGGGTATCAGAAAACCGTGCGACTCCGGCCCTTGACGCCTTTGAGGGAAAAGGGGACGGGGCCACTTGGCTCTTGGTGCGGGAGGCGGATGGATCCGGCTGTGGCTGTAATGGCACATTCATCACATTGACAAGAACGAGACGTAGTGGATCCAGGGTGAGATTTACTGTAGAATGTCTGACAAAACACAGGAGTTCGGAGTTTGTCGGTCCACTAGATGAGCTCGCCTCCTTGTGCGCTATTTAATTATCCAACTAAGGGGAAGAAGCGGAAGCAGCCAGAAAGCTGATGTTCCTTCGTGCAGGTGTGAATATTCACCCGTGGGTGCGGTGGTAGAGTGCATTGCGGGAAATCATGCCGTGAGCATGTGGTGCACACAACATCCGCTGTGCTATTCAGCACTTGAGCCTTCCTCCAGCTGCGCTGCTGAAATTCGTGCCACTTCGAGCAGAGTTGCAGCTGAAGATACAAAAACAGATGTGCGTCGCATAGGTTACTACACGCAGCTTGCTGTTCTGTGAGATCAGGGAGATTGCACACACTGAGGTGTGATTCTTTTCGAGAGTGTGACATATATGTTTAATATATATATATATAACTAAAAGCAGATTTTGTGGCTGCCAACCAGTGCTAGAAAAATCAGACACAGTGTTGGCATTGCATAGTGTTTCCTTTGACATCGTTTGTTTCAGCTTCAAGGCCATATCTCCCTCTACGATTTGGACCCACAGGCTGTTCAGGCTCGTTACTGCAGCGGCAATCACTGCTGGGTTGTGCCTTGCTCACCAGCTCCCTATGGGAGAACACAATTTAGTTAGAAGTAAGATCCCCGTAGACCACTGTGCAACAGTTCACACCTCATCCTGTTTGCGGTTTGTTGCCAACAAAGAAAGGCTGTACGTTCAAACGACAAGGAGCAAAGTCATACTTCTTGAGCCTGCCTTCGTTCTTACAGATTCAGAGAAGTCCGTCGGAGTCTGTCAGATGGGTTTGCCAAGCATAAAAACACCCAATGATAGCCGCAAGAAATACAAGGACTGGCCAGAGGTGGTCACCCGATCTCATGTGTAAACCAGTCCGCTGAACCAGGACCCGTGGAACCATGTGGAACCCCCTCGACCCGTCGTCTCATCCTTCTGCTCAAGCTGACAGGTCTTGTGGGACTTCCGTGCCTTCCTTCTGGCCACGTCCTTGGTGGAATCATTGCTCTTTGAGGCCATTTGAGGCACTTTGAGGCACTTTGAGACACTTTGGCTACTGTCACGACAAGAGATCTTGACCCACCACTTTACCTGGAGAAGATTACACTGTTTGTGTCATTGTTTATGTATGTTTGTGTCTTCCAAGGATCCAAACTCCAGAGTTTTCTTTCTTTCAACCCTGTTGCTGTGGTGGACCCGTTCTCGGCGGGAGCCTGCATGCACACATCTGCACCCAGGAAGCATATGGTGACATCATGACGGCGTGGCACCAAGGGTTGGATCCCAAGAAGCGTGGAAAGATCGAGGCGCGGCCAGGGGGTTCGCCCATGGCAGGTTCGGCACAGCCGCCGAACCACAAGGTTCGGGGTGGAAGTGCGTGGTTCCACGTTGGTGGAAGCTCGATTCTCCTGAACCGAGACCATGTGGGGAGAACTTGAGGGAAGAGGAACTGCTGATGGCTCATTTCCAGTCGATCACTCCAGGAGGAGGACTTTGCCAAGCGCTTGAAAGACATGGGGTACGAGGCCAGGGAGAAGCCTGCGCGCCTTAGGTCTTTCCGCACATTACGCATGAATTAATCTTGGTATGCTATGGAAGAAGTGTGTTTGAATGGCTCAATGATGCTCAATGGCCATTTCAAAGATCACTTGTCATAGAGGGCTGGTGTGTGCAACGAACCGTTGTGTGGACATTTGGTGATCACCTCACCCTGTAATAGTGCAAAAGCCCTGAGATGTGAATATTCTAACTTGATCGCCATTACCCAAGCCTGTGCTGTACTGTTTGTGTGGTTTGCGGTCTTTGCTCCATCCATCAGCTGCGTTTCAGGATGATGTCAAGAAGCTTTGGCAGCTTCTTCTAGCGGAGCCGTCAGAACTCCCAGCTCCCAGATACTGTACATGCCTGGTGCTCTTTTTTGGAGTGTCCAGATGACGGGTCATTTTCAATCATTTTCACAAAGAGCAGCTACGTACCTCTGAAACCATCTCAAACCTACCATTTTAGTTGAACAGAAACAGAAGATCGGTGATTCGCTTTCCAGATTCTCTGCTGCGAAAGCACAGCCCAAGGCACCCGATCCCGGCACCCGAGGCATCGAAAATATATCGTCCTCCGCGACATCGACGCCAAGGCTGCAGATGTTTGGCACCTCAGATTGCCGATTCGGCCGGGTGAGGGGCGCCGGGTCGGCACCGATGTAGCACCAGGGGCTGGCTGTGCGAGTTTCCGGGAAGCTCGTAGCGAAGGCCTTCAAAGTTCAGTAGGTCGTAGTAGGTCGTAGTGGGTCGTAGTAGGTCGTAGTAGAAGATGGGAACTGCGAGATCTGACCTGTTAGCGAGTCTATGTCGATATGTCCATCTGACACCAAGCGCCCATGAGGGCATAGAAGATTTGCACGCGGGTCGTCCATGCTGAAGTTGCTGGCACGGGCATGTGGGTTGGGCATGAGCCTTTTCCTCAGGCCTTCTTCCGGGGAGATGACAAGGCATTGACCCTTTATGGCACTAAAAGCTATGCACTTAGTTTGTTGGCCTCTGATTTGTCGATCGCTTGGTTTGTAATGAGTCGATGTTGGTTCATGGTGGACAGACTTCTGAATGGCCTTTCGGCTTGTCAACTTGGTCTTTTTGCTGTGGCTTCCTGATTTGAGGTGGTCCTCGGGCATCTCCAAGCAAGTGGACAGGAAAGGTTGTAGATGTGACCTTAGCATGGGTTGCTGGTTTTCTCTTCAAAGCCGCTGCCGCTGCCGGTGCAGGAAAGCTGCTCAGCCCAAAGAACGACGAAGAAGAGGGTGAGGCAGGCTCATCGATGTTTGCTTCGGCTTCGCAGGGCAACTAGCACTTTCAGTGCCCAGAGGTAGGCTGGCCTGCCCAATTCGAGACATGTCCATGAATTGATGTCGATTATTCCTTTTTTTTCAATACCTGCTTTAAGCACCGTGTCCTTGGTGCCCTAGGGCACCTCCAGCGCGCGCCAGGAGGCGGCCGCTCGCGGGTCCAGCAGCAAGGATCCCAATACTCCGAAGAGCCTGCAGCTGCCGGGGACACCTTCCAAGAGGTGACACCATGGTGACACCGATGGAAGGGCAATTCCAAGAAAGAAAACATCCTTCGGACTCGGTTTCGGCGGTTCTGAAAGAGCCTTCATCCGGTCAAGTGGACACGAACAATTGGTTGGTTTTTAACTGTTCCCTTCTTTTAGATGTTTTCCGTTTTCCCATGTCTTCCGGTGCAGCCAAGTCCCTCAAACCTTTTAAACACACTCCGGGAGGGCTCCTTTTGTTCTCAGAGAACAACGGACGGTCCTCGGTCGGATCCGGCCCATCGCCGATTCCGTGAGCGAACCCGTACTTCGCTCCCCGTCGCAGGCCGAACTCCTCGCAGTCGGTGAGCTCGCGTGCTCCCTCCAACCAGTCGGTGGCACGGTCCCATGCGGGGGACGACGAGGCGGGTCCACGGCGGTGTGGCGGAGCCGTGGGGTGCGGTGTTCCGTGGGTGACGTGGTGACGTGGGCGGTGACGTGGTGACGTGGAGAGAAGGAGCAGAAGTAGAAGAAGATGGGTCCGAAAGGCCTCAGGGTGTTGTGACAACAGGCGAAAACATGTGACAATCATGTCACCATGCTCGGGGAAAAGACACTTCCAAATGATACAGGGAGCGACTATGATGGTGTTACATTCGTGGCCTCACATGTGTCCCGTGTCCTAAGATGTGAATGGCCCTTTTGTGGCTCAGAGAAGCTGCTTTGGTATCCCGACATGGAGGGTTTTGAGAGTATACATTGTGATTCTGGGGTACTGTACTTATTGATACTTGTATGTAGGATTGTAGGGAAGATTTCTTCCAGGTTGATCATGCGTCCATTTTCGCACTCCCGCTCCTGGATGCTCATGGAAGGAAAATGCGGTCTACCGGCCCACACGCATTGCAATCTGGTGTGGCGCTTACAATTGATTTCAGAAAGCTGAGGGTGAGCTGGCTAGGCTGGAAGAGATTGTGGCGGGTTGTCAGCTGATGAGTCACACATCGATCTATCCTCAAGTCCTGAAGGACTTACCCCTCCGCAAGCTAACATGGAACCTGAGAATTGACCAGTGGAAGACTATGTTCCTCTACAACCCAGTGGTTTAGGGGGTCCATGTGGGTCTCTGCAGGGGAGTAGACCCACAAATCTTCTGTGACTGGAGTGTTTCATCCAGTTTCTTGCGAGTCTTAGGTCGGAGGAGCTCGGGGCTCGCAAGCGTCAGGCCGGTGCGAAGCTGGGGCCGAACCCGCGCCAGACTAGACCGCCAGAGCCAGGAGTAGGATGGAGTGGATGGAGTGGATCAGCCAACCCTTGATATGATCATTTTCGATTCACAGTTTTGCAACATTGAGATACAATATCCATTCGCATCCATTCGCTCTATCCATGCTCTTGGAGCGTGTCTTTATATGTTGGAGCGTCATTCAACCGATACGAGTCTCACTTAGGTTGAAGAGTTAACTCTAAGTTGTCTACATGAAAAGGACGAATTACACATGGCAGAGAGCCATTGCACATGAGCTCAACCATGAGTTCATTGATTTTCTTTCCACGAGGGCAACCTTCTCAGACTCAAACGAAGAGATCACATTAGTTTCTTTATGCTTCTTTGGAGCAGAAAAAACATCCTATTTGATGTCAGGGCGCGGAGATGCGGCTGAGACAGGAAATGGATCTGCAAGTAGGTCGGCCGATCGTCGATGCGGCGCGAAGCGCGGCGCGATGATCGCGGCGCGATGCGGTGAACACCACACTCGAAGTCATGTAAGTCTGGCCCAGGCCAAACATGACTCAGTAGAATGGACATATCTTCCCCTCAGCTTCAGACGTTGAATCAACGCTTCAGACTCAACTTCTTACTTTGCAGGGCCCAAGTGCTTGGATGACTACCGCAGACAACTGGTCAATGGATGTGGTAGTCTGGCTTCGTCCTCAGATCGCAAAGCGTCTTAATCTGCAGCCTTTCAGCAGTTGTCCCAGCAGCCACATGAGCATCGGGTAGATGAGCCTGTGGGGCTTAGTATTATATAGACATGCTTTGAACGCCTTCCTGGCAGTATGGAGAGTTCATGGGAGCACAGCATTTTCCTATATTTTCCTCATTACAATCCATCAACCGTTTGAAGCGAGGCTGCCGCATGGAGATACCGGATGGATACGGAATGCCAGGAACTAAGAGGGAAGAGCAAGATCTCTCTCATAAGCTTGAATTGGTGAAGATGTGAAGCCTCTTTCACTTGCAAGGTGCATGTTGTCTCCACTGAAAATCCCACTGTGCTCAACAGTCTCTTTCCAGTCACCTCACACCTGCCCAGATTGTTTTCGAGTCCATTCATTGCAATACAACCACCCAAATGAAAGTTACTGAACAAACTCAAATTGAACCTCCGAGGCACCGGGCGCATGTCCTTCATGCAGTTCGTCATGGCCATCGACCGCACCGGGGGGCCACAGCCTTAACGATGGCCGCGCGCAGAGCGCGCACGTGCAGAACGCGGGGGCGGGCAACCCGGGAGTTTCCATGGTATTTTTGTCCATCACGCTGTCAGTTTCCTCTAAGACATATGGAGGGTATACCCTCCACATTTGGTTTAGATCCAGTTATGGGTCCTCGTTGGGAACATCAATCAGGCCCCAGTCCGGTGGTGTTTTCGGGGTCGAAGAGAGGGCGGCTCCAAGCGTGGCGCAACCACGCTGGACCGGGTCCCGGACCGGCCCCAAAGGTATTCGGGCAGCGTGAAGCAGCTTTGGGCCGAGATCTCCGGTGAGAGAGATGAAGCAACCTTTCAGGCGGGGAGCCGTGACCTCCGGACAGCGGCGGAGGTGGCCGAACGAACGGGCCGGTGATTGGTTCGGGGTTTCCCTATGTAGCATGGGTATGTCGTGTCATGCGTCATGCGCGACATGTTTCAGCAAACAACTTGCAGCAGGAACGAGGGGTACGCCACCCTGAAAGTTGTTTTCAGGGTCCGTGTGAATCTTCCAGGGCGTACTCTCTTCGCAGCCACTTTCAGCCATGCCAGGACCTTGATCCCGATGGATTCGAGCTCTTGCAGGTGGACTGGGTAGGTTTCGACCTGGGGGGACTGATAGGGACGGATGACTGATGGACATTCGGGTTGGACTCACTCAGACCGACCGACCAGCAGCTCTGCATAGCTCTGCCGCCCGGGGCATTCGCATTTGCTCTGTCGGGCAGTACGACTTCGAGACCACGTGGGGAGGCATTCCGGAAACGAATGGTGAGGCCTTTGGAATGTGGATTGTGGATAACTACGAGAACTTCCCAGGCGACGAAGACGGCTGAGAAAGTCTGAGAGACCTCCATGAAGCAACCGACCTCGTAGATTGGCAAATGATGACAGATATTATTCATATTTTATAATTTCATGATATTTACATATAGTATAATGATAATAATATAAAAGTGAGCCACTCCACATGAATAAACACGTCCACTGATGTCCATCGATTGGCGGTTGATATATGTTGCATTTTCGCAGTTCAACTGTCAATCACTGCTTGAATCCGCTGAAACCTGACAGGTTTCTGGAAAACCATCGAGAAGTACAATGATGAGCAGCTAGATGAGGCAAAGAAAGGGAAAGATAGAGAAACGTGCGAGGGGGTGTATCAAATACACATGGCACCCTGGTAAAAGGATGTAACAGGTACAAATGACTGACTCTCATAGGCTGAAGCCCCAACAGATGGACCAACCGCGCGAACGACCAGGGCCATTTTTTTGTCGGGCGCATCAGAAAGTCACATGAACCAGAAGAGGCCCATGCAGTCATGAAGGTTGCAGCCCTGCCAGGAAGATTTTGTGGGCAGATGCCTTGAGACTGGCCTGGAGGGTATCTCAAAGCGAGAAATGAAGAGGAGATCGTTCGCATCGTTCTGTGATTTTGTGAGCGATGCTGCATGCTTAAGCTGTAGCCATCCATTGGAGCTCAATGGATATTGGTAGCTGATGCAGAAAGTGGTCTGGTTGCAGGATCTTCAAGATGCTTCTGCCAGAGCCCAGCACTGGTCGAACCAAGCTCATTCAACCTGACTTGCAGGCGCTCTGCGTTGGCTTGCATAATGATCTTAAGGTCTCGATCGCAGCGATTGATCAATCTTCATGCTGACACATTTGTTTACATGATGGTCTTACAGTCTTGCTGATGCCTTCGATCGCTGACAGGTGTTTCCGCACGGTCGGAATCCGACCTCCATCGCTTCGTCCAACGCTTCGTCGCTTCGTCCGGTCTGGGCAGGTTTTGATGATTGCCATGCCTGTGGAGAGCAAGCAGGTGATGAAGCGCAGCCTCACTGAGAAGACCGTGGGAGTTGAGAAAACCACAAGCTCTGAGAAGACGGACAGGGAAGAGGACTGGGACGGATGGGGCCTACAGCCAGGGTGGGAAGTCCAGACAAAATCGCCACGCTCTGCTTGGTTTAGGTCATTTCCGAAAACAACCGGGGCGGCCTTGCACTTGGGATGTCTTGAGAAAAAAGAAGTCACCAAAACGACCACCCTCCCGTCACCTGCCTTCGCACCCGTCCCATCCCGCGGTGGTCCGCGCAGCGCGCGTGGACTCGCGGCAGGAGTCGATGGCGTCCCCCAGCTCCTCGCCCAAGTCGCCGCTCCGCCCGCCCTCGCCGGCGTCCCCGCAGTCGCCGGCCACGCCACGGTCGCCGTCGCGGGTGAAGTGTTCCCCGGAGCTGCCGGTGATCTCCGTGCAGGCCACCGGGAGGGGTTTGAAAGGCCACGGGGAGGGTGTGAAGGAGCGAAGCCTTTTGCAGATGGGGAGAAGGAGGGGTTTTTCTCCTTATGGGGAGAAAGCACTTAGTTATATAAGATCTATATATGTATGAATTTTTTAGATGGATGTCGTTTGTATGTGAGGATGTTGACTGCGATGTAAGGTAGTGTAGTGTGTTTTGGTGGTCGCATGCTAGAAATGACTTCCACTGCATGGCATGACTGATTTGATCATGTTTGATCTAGCAGGATCAATCTGCAAGTTCTCAGTGGGCCTCATGCTGCATTTCCCTTTTCCTCGCCAGGAATTTCGCAGAACGCTCAAGAGGCTTTATGGCAGTGTGCATGCTGGCTGGGTGAAGTATTTGGACGTCACAGAGGCCCGGGACACGTGAGGAAAGCGTCTCCACGGTTTCCGTGGTCTCCACCCCCCTCTGCCCAGACTCCGACCGATCTCCGTCCTCCACTCGCTGCTCCGTGCACAGCGGTCCTGCGCACGTGCCGCGTGCAGGTTGGACGCGTGCCCAAAGGGGAGTTCGTGAATCGAGCCCGGGCCATCGGTGTGACAGGCACCCCGGAGAGCAGTTGAGGAAAGCATGCCTCGGTCTGCGGCGGGTCAGAGAAATTCGATCGGGACCGACCCATACCTAGCCGAGCCCCCAATTTTTTTGTTTTATTTGTTAATCTCAGAACAAATCAAGTGTGATGTGGCTCTTGGGTTCTCCTCGTCGCAGAAGAAACATGTGAACCCTCAAAGCGATGGGATCACAATGCCAACTGTTTCTGATGTCTTCCATCATGGGATCCACAGGTGTTGCTTCGCTCAGTGCCCTCAAAGATCGAAATTTTCTCTTCACAGGGCACGTGGCTGCACTCTTTGCTGAAATAGACGTGGACAACAAGGGCTTCATCACCCTCCAGGCTGGAAAATCGGATCCATGTCTACATGGCTGGGAAGGAGTGTTTTGACATGTCTTGACATTTTTTTGGGTGGATGGCTCTGATGGCTCCATGAAAATCATGAAACTCATGGAAGCTTCCTAAGTCGCTCTGCTGTTGTGGTCGCTGTTGGAGTCTGCTGTTCAGGATCTGGATCCGGAGGTGTCTAAGATCACCAAGCAATTCTTCCGCAAGGTTCAGGACGGATGATGTCGGACGTGAGGTCCAAGGACTCCATTGGTGTTTGTAAAAGAGATCCTAGAGGATGAAGGCTCATGTTTGAGGCTCAGTTTGCAAGCAGTTTCAGACTCCAGATGCAGACTCCTTCGCCACTTGCATCCACTTGGTGTGTGGCATAGTTCTATCAAATCTTATTGACCAAATTGATTTCGCACTCTGCCAAACTGCAAGTAACGCTCTGTACCAAAGAAGCTTTGCACCCTCTTAGGAGACTTATGGCTCCATCGAAGAAGCTTGGCCCAAAGCCTTCGATGTCGCTCTGGCACGGTTTTGTCGGACGCCACGCGCCGTGACTCGAGGCGATGGGAAGATGGGACGTGAATCGAGACGTGAAAGGACCATGTGGACGTGACTGAAAAAAAACCAATGAAGATATAGAAGCATGATATCTGTTCATATCTGTAGTCGCAGAGCCACTATGTGAACATGCGTGGAAGAACATGGAGAAGGAGCTTGCTCTGTGGACTCCTGATTGGACCTCCCAGGTCTCCAAGCGAAGAGTCGTGGGGAAGAAGGAGTTTGCCAAAGGTTGTGAGGCGATTGGCTTTGAAGGCCTGAAAAGGGTGACCGGCAGGTCTGAGGCAAAAATTCTGAGGAGTCCTATAGTAAATAGCTTTGACAAAAAGCTCTATGAACCATGAATACGCCTTCTCGAAGCACTTCGTGACATGGATGTTGCTAGTAGTGGATTCCACAGCCTAACTTTCTTGTGAATTGTGTCGATGGATATCAGACGATGTCTGGAAGAGAGCAGCTCCTTCTTTGGGGGCTGGGTGCGTGGGTGGTGCTTTTCTTCATGACCACCCTACCTGCGTATGAGGTGATGCGAACAAGCTTTTCTCCTTCCTCCAACCTGAAGCTGGTCGAACGTGGGGTCGCCCGGAGTGGCCAAAAGCCAGGTCCACAGCAGTTGGCATCCCTTCCACAAGCAAGCAGTTGGCATCCCCATGAGCTCGCATGGATAGATCCATGGACTCTTTCTTCATTCTTTCCCCTCCAAAAACGCCTGGATTCACCAGCTGCCCTACGGCGAGCCCGCCCCCAGCAGCGCGAGCTCCGCCTCGCTTCGCTTGGCGCCGCGAGGTTTCTGGAGTTGGCCGATCTCGGTCGCCACGCGGCGGCCACCGTGAAGGCCCCCGAGCTGCCGCCCATCTCTGCGGAGGAGACGCCCGAAACGCGCCATGGTCTCCGTTGCCTTCGGCCAAGGTTGGCAGAGGTTGGCAAGGGCCGGGCCAACAAGAACGCGTTGTACAGGTGGTTTTGGGATCGGATCTGAGTCTCTTGGCTTGCCACGGTGTTCCGGTGCGGCAAATGGCTGATCTTGGAAAGGATCGGACAGTGGTTGTTGCCGCATGTTGTTGCCAAGACGCGGGGATGTGTGGGCAGTAGCGGATGATGCCTTCACCGTGGCTGCCAGGAGTTCCGCAACACCCTGAGAACCGATTATGGAAGCATCCATGGCGGTTGGTTGAAATGCTTAGACGTGTCAGAGGCACCAGTGGGCGCCAGCATGTAGCATGTCACCACGGGTCTATTGCTGAACATTCACACACGGATCCAGTTTCATATTGAAAGCTGAGCAGGAAAGAATGGACCTTGCTCACGGCATGTTCCAGTGTGTGAAACAGCTAGGATGCAGGGATTCCAACGGATTCCAACGGATTCCAATCGTTTTCATACATTTTTAAAGACCTTTTTTCAGATGGGAGTGCTGCAACCAACAAGCAGCGCCTCTTTGGCGTCAGGTGGGACGAGTACGGCGGGGAGACTTTGTGACCCGAACCAGAGGTATGGGGCTCACAGGCGTGGCCGTGCGGGGCTTCACTGGGCCGTGCGGGCCCAAACAGCGGTGGAAGAGCGGTGGAAGACATGCGAGAAGAAGACTGCACCACATGAAGACATGTGAGAGTGAAGCGTTATTCTTTTTTTGTGGAGCTTGTGGGCCACGTTCACCGCTCTGGAACAGGGAACGTGGCAGCACTCTTTCTAGACCTCGATGTGGACAAGAAGGGCTTCATCACGCTGCAGGCTTGAATTGTCATCTCGATGTACAGGCTTGTTGGCTTCATCTCTTTGGTGCCATGACTTCACCCAGTCAATGAACATACAAGCATGTTGGCTGACATGTCACAGCTAGTCATTCAGGGGGTTCATCATCCGTCGTCATCAGCTTAGCGAGCTGCGGCCCAGGATTTGGATCCGGAGGTGAAACTCCTTGTGAAGCATTTCTTCCGCTGCGCCCAGGAGCGAAGCGAGTTTTTTGGGTTCCTGCCCAACATGGTTTCCTGTCGTGTCACATTGATAAGATTGGTAAGGCGTTTGAGAAATTGAGATAGATAGACTGAGCTGGATTGAGATGGATGGCAAGCGTGGAGGAGAGCTATGGCTCCATCGAAGAAGCGTGGCCCAAGGCGTTTGACGCCCTCCTGGCATTGATTGCATTGGGGATTTGGACGCTCCCACCCTGGTGCTTATATATGCTTATATTGTAGGTCACGAATGCTTTTTCACCGCCATCACCAACGGACGCATCACCCATGGCTTCTCTTCGGGGTCCCTGTGGATTCGTTGGTCTCCGAAGCGCCGCTCCCAGGTCGCACGCGAAGGAGCGATCGGGAAGAAGGAGTTCGCCGACGGCTGCGAGGCCATCGGCTTTGAAGGCGACGAAGAGCGGCAGGGTGTGGGTGGTGTAGGGTGAGGAGCGCCTCCAAACGGTGTGGAGGTTCACTTGAACGCTTGATACATGATAAACATTGGGTTTCATTGCTCTAGGTATTACAAAAGGTCTCTTGACCTCAAAAATGATGAACAGTATTCCAAACTGGTCTTGGAACTTGCCCGCAGTGGCCGCCATGTCGGTGACCACCAGGTGACACCAACATCATGTTTACGCTTCTCCTGCCCAAAGTCAGTCGAACGTCTGGAACCCGGACCGCTGGGCGGGTGGAGGCTGACGGAGCGGAACGTGCCCCCTCGGGCGGTGCGGCGGTGGACGGCCAGACGACTTAGGTGTCGGGAGAACAGAGGACATTGTTTACGAAAGTGACGTCGCCCCAAAAGTTGCTTGGACCTTTGTCCCGTGCTTGACACAAAAGGCATGGCTTAATGGAGCTTGATGGCAAATTCAGGTATGACGGAATGACCTGAACCCTCAAACGTGGTAGTCTCTATGTCTTTCCCTTGGGCTCAAGAGCTCCTCTAAAACTTACCACGGCCATCAGGCTTCTTCATCGAACCAAAATCCATCCCCAAATTACTCACTAATCACATCTAATCACATCAAATTGTCAAGAAACAAGCTACTAGTAACAAGTGCATCGCTACTAGTAGCTAGAAGCTAGAAGCTACTAGAAACAAAGTCTCTCAGGTTCCTTTGTTTAGCCACCCATCGGTGACCCACCGGTGACCCACCGGTGACCCCATCGGATGCGTGCCGTGTCAGGTCCCTGGAGCTCTCGGACCTGGGACGTTTTACCGCTCTGAAGGAGCGGTCGCGGTGGAGCGGAGCGGCCTGGCCCCAGGGGTCCCCCAAAAGCATGTAGATGGAGATAAGTAGAAGGTAGAAGTCGGTAGAAGGTGCTTTCTTTTGATACTCAACATGGTAGGGCCATACAGTTCTGCACTCCTACATTGGGATATGATGTGATATGAATGGATGTTGCATGGACTTGATCCGAGGCACAAGTGGATCCCCCCAACAGTTCAGGAGGATTCTGCCGGGTGGAACGAAAAGCGTTGTCAGGTGGGTCACGTGGGCGTTCCGAGTAGAACGCCTAGTTCATGCAGTGGAACACTCCCTCTGTTCATCCGCTGGGTCCACTGGCCAACGTCAGCGCTGTGCCGGGGATTCATGCCGACCTGCGAGGACTAGCAAACCTTGAGACAAGGATGTTGGAGTAGACGAGCAAAATCCATCAAAATCCAATTGCCGAAGGCAACTGGTTGCATAAGCGAGCAGATTTTTAGTGTGATTCTGCAATTCCTCCAAACGAGGTCAGATTTGGACACCCTCATGACCTTTTTCAGGTGCCAACAGGCAGATGAAGCCATGAACATCCCAGCTGTAAGTGCTTTGCAAGGCTTTCCAAATCTGCATGAAATCCACTAGCTGTCTTAATTATGGATATTGTCCTGGTGGCGGGAGCCTTAACGAATCCATCCCAAACACACCGAGAGGGCAAGTGACTCCCTCGTAGATGTCAGACCTGAACCAAAGACGTATACATGAAACTACGTATACATCGTATATGTACGGATGAGTCTCAGATGTGATTTCGATGATTCAACTCTGATGGAGAAGTGTGGATATGGATCAATCAATACTATCACTCCGCCCGCCGGGGTCTCCTTGAACCCATATGATGCACTTGGTGAGACGCCGTCTGAGACAGACGTTTGCGTCAGCAAACGGTCGAGAGGCGTTTTTCCGATTTCTGGAGCAGAGCCAAAAGGCTTCCGAACCACGCTCCGTTGGAAAGAAGCGACCGAGAGGTGACAGAGGGCGAGCGACCGGGAGGTAGCCTTCAGGCTGAATGACCGAAAGCGCACACACACAGACACGCAACTAGTCAGCCCAAATGCTGCAATTTGTCACCACACCTGCAGTTTCATGGCATTGCGGCGTTGCTTGACACCCAAGAGTCCAAGAGCCATTTAGGATGATCATGCGATCCCATCAGATAGCCCGCAACAACGCGATTTTCCCATCAGGGACTATTTGCGTCCTCACAGCTGAGGCAACAAACTAACAGATCGGGTAAACTGCTGATCTCGATTTTCTTGTATATAGTTGCAGTACTGCATGCCCCGCAGAAGTAGTTGAAGTGCGGCATAAGAGTCGGGCGGAAGAAGCAGAGTGAGTTTCGGCAGAAGTTTCTTAATTTATCCCTGCTTAACATCATCTTGCAATGTTGCGCCATCGCTGCTGGAGATGTGGTCACACCCTGATGCGCTATGCAGGGCCTGGCACCTACGACCTACAATGATGGCCATCGGACCTTTTTGTGCTTTGTTCTTGTCAATTTTCTTTTGTCCGTGGCACAAGAATCCTGCATGTCATGTGGCCCAGGAGGTCCATGTTCTCAACTCTGTCTTCTTCGCAGCAGGTGTCTCAGGTCAGGATGCCTCTTCGATTGGCAGTGGGAAGCCTTCAGAAATACTGTACTTATATGTGTTTTCTGATGCTCCATCATGGGTCTTAGAAGATGTTCTTCAAACCTCCTCGCTTCGTGTGTGACCAAAAAGGCTCCACATGACTGAAGCACTTTTAGCTCAGGCTTGCAGCAGTGCAAGCTTTCCGACATCGAGCTTTGTCTGGGCCCTACACTGAATCACCTGAATCTCACGAACACATACGAGCACATGGTCACATCTCTCGCATCACATCGTCAGACAGAAGCTCGAGCTGTGTGATCCCTGAAAACTGGTCACTTGAGGCCAGATGTTACAGCAGCTCTGGAGGGGCCAGGCACAGGCTCTGTGCGGCTAGGCGGGGCGGGAGAGGGCGGGAGTCTCCCAACCCTTTTTTCTTCACCCCTGCGAGATGTTCAAAATCATCGCGAGTCTTCGAACACGTCGCGCGAGATGCGAGGACATCGTCGCGGCATGCCGCAGGCGAGACGCTTCGAAGCATCGCGTGCGAGGAGGCCGGACGGTCTGTTTCAGGTCCAAGGTACACCGTCGAACAGCGAGGATCGAAGAGGAGAGGTCGGTCACCCGTCGTGGAGAAGACTTCTTCCCTGGTTATCCTGGATGTCATTTTTGGTCGTCACTTGGTCATCTGTGGTCTATTGATCCTCTGTGATCTATCTACATACCCGTTCCATCTCCTTGGACTCCACAGATCGATTTCTCGCGTTAGGTCGCTGACTTGAGCGAAGATGTCTCCAAAGAGGCCCGCATGTCCCGGGACTGCGACCGGGTGACCGGTGACCTGTCGATAGGTCGGTGCGTCCTTAGCTTAGCTGCTCATTGATGTTGCGTGTTTTAACTGGATGGATTCTCTTGACCTGCTTGAGAAGCAGCAATCTGGATCACTCTCGCCCCTTGAGTGAACTTGAACTCTGAGCTCAGAAGCCCTGAGGAGTCATGCTTTCAATTGCTTTCGTCGTCTCAACGCCATCTGAAATCGCCGTTTTGGCTCAGAATGCTTCGCTAGCTTTGGTGTCCATGCCTACATGTGGCTGGCACCTGCAGATCTACAAAAACCTGACATATCATGAGAATTCATGAGACACATAAAAGAGCCCAGTAAAGTCACATACTGGTAACAAAGTGGTCTTGCATCAAATCCAAGCTTAACAGGTAAAAGGAGGGTCACCAGCGCGACTCCGACTGAATGTCATACGGCATCATTTAGTGCCACTTGGTGTGATGTTTGTGTAGTAATATATAGTTTCGAAGCAAATGCTCTTCTGCATCAGAGTTTGATGTCGGCATCGATCACCCAAACTACACCCGTGGGCCAGGAACAGCTGCTAACAGACACCACGCCAACTGATGATAAACCAAGCACCTACAGTCCAAAGTAGGCTTGTTTAATCGCCTCGCTGCTCGATTTTCCATCTGACCAGCTGGATCTCGGCTTGCTCGCGTGCACTGCGGAGGCACAGCCCTGTTGAGCGGTTCAGTCCAGGTGAATGAGAACCCTTCGCAAAGCTTTTCACGGGTGTGAATCGGGGGATTGTTGAAACCGGACTGAAACCCATCCCTGATCGGAAAGGACACGCTTGGAGCAGCTTTGTCCATTTGGTCGTGACTAGCAGCAGTGACGGCAACGCGTTTCGGCCGGGAACCCAATGGAGGGAGGTCGCCTTGCGAATCCTTTCTACAAAAAATTGGTTTGTTCTTTTTCATCACCAGTGGAGCTGGGAGCTGGTACAGAAAAAGGAATGTGATTTCTGCCTCAAACAGAGAATCGTGGATTGTAAAATCAAAAGGCTGCAAGTCATTGGATTTGGCTTGTGGCTCACGGCCAGTGGTTACCCTCTCTAACTCAGGTCCTTGCTGGACAGTGCATGTGACATCATGTGCATGTGACATCATGGGACGCACATCCGAGCCTCGTTGTACTGGCTTTCAAAGAAGGAGCCTCCGGAGATCGTCTCTGGTGAAGGCCAATAGGAAGTCGGAGAGCTCACGAACAAATATCAAGAAAGAATCGGAGACTTCACTGACGATCCCACGGTGGATGTCCGACATGGTCGTGAAGCGACACGCGTCGTGGTTGACCTCTGAAGCAGCAAAAGCGGAGGACACACTTACTTCCTACTCTTCCCACTCTTCATGCTATGACTCTGGTAGCATCAGACTTTTCATTTTACCATATATATATATATATTTCACTACATGTTACAGTATCACTTTTCACCACACATCCTAGCAATTTTGATCCATCTCTGCTGTCCTCAAAGGCCACTCAGACTTTGGCCGCTATGATGCCTTGGCTCCTGTTCCTATGGTGGGTCTGGCTGCCGATCCAGGCTCTTCCGAAGGTGTGGTGGGTCTTGTCGTTTGCCACGTCACCGGCTTGCGATTGGATCGGATTGGTGCTGCAAGTACGTGGTGCAGTGCTGGAAGTGCTTGCAAGCAACTGCAGGACAAAGAAGAGCCCCATATCCCCGAACCTCTGATGGAGCTCATCCTTTTTGATTGCCACTTAGTCTACAAACAGGTCATAGGATACTGAATAGCTTCCTGCAAGCGTTTGTCAAAACAAGCTGCTGTGGTGGGTGGGTGTTTGGAAGAAACAGTTGGCTCATCCATGTTCATCCTAAATCCAGGACGTGTATCGTGGAGCAGGGAAGAAACATGGCTGAGGGATGTCCTGTTTCTTCTTTGGTGCAAAGCAACCAACTTGCACTGGTTTGGTCAGCTGCCACTAGCAAATAGTGACACCCTCGATGGCTTGGCAGAGCCGCAGCACAGCTTAGGAAAGAACACCAACTGAAGTAGACACGCAACAAAAACATGGTGACACAACTGGAACTTCGCCTGTGGGAGTCATCGGCGTGGGAGTCATCTTAGACACCATCATCTGAGAATCATCTACCAGACCCAAAGCACCTTGACCCAGACCCAAAGCGCCTTGGGCCCACGAACCGTGTCGAACCCTCGTGTCGAACCCTCGTGTTCGTGCCCATTGGCCGTCGGTCCCATAGCCCGGAGGCGAATAGCGGGCTCACTCGGCTGGAGCAGGAAGAGCTGGCTTTTATGAAGAGCTTCTTGGATTGGTTTACTTGGCCAACTCACATGATGAAGAGATGTTCCATCCAAATGAGTTTATTTTTTCTTATTCAAGTGTCTACAGCACCAGTGGCACCAGTGGCAGATATCATGGATTTGGTGTTTTACTATATAATATGAGCCACGTGATCGTGTACATGCTGATAAAGACCTTCACAGCCCTGGGAGCTGGTGCATTTGGTCCTGCTTGGAAGCTCCAAGGCTCGCTAAAGCGCGAGATCGATGATGAACCTTGGCGGAAGATCTTTCCCACTTCCTTCGGCGTCAAATGCACACGTGGCAGTCCTTGGGAAGAGACGCTCCCACAGCGGTTTCGCTCCGGTCCCAACACCACCCCCTCTTTTCTGCAGCACATGACCGTGTTTTTCAACCCCCCTGGAACACAGAACACATAGCACTGAAAAAAGAAGACGGTCATGCGCTCGGTTTTCTGCGAGCCCAAGCGAGACAATTGTTGAGGCCACAGATCCTGCACATGAAGATACCAGCTTGCATGGGCAGGAGAAGAAGATCCGCAAGGCATACAGAGCCTTGATTGTATAGCAATATATTACTGTAAATCCATTGCATATGGTCATGGACCATCATGGGTGGATGCCGAGTCTTGAGTAGGTTTCAGACAATGTAAGTCATGTCAAGGTCAGTGGATGATCCGATGAGGAACCTCATTCATGGCTTCAGAGTTATGTCGAGTTGTTTTCCTTGTGGACCTTTCTGAAATGCAACGCTCGAGTACCGGCATCGCTGACGACATCGCCGAGGAAACATCGCCAGACGATTCAAGCGGAACATCTTCGATGATCAGGCGCTAAGCGCTCCAACGACTTGTTCCACTGACGGAGACCGGAGGTTCCAACGCTTCCAACGCTTAGCACGCAAAGAAGAAGGATGAGACATGGTGAGACATGATGAGACTCGGTCAGGAAAGTAGCTCCTAAATCGAAGATTCTGGAAAACGCTGAATTCTAATTAGATCCTTGATGCATTTCTACAGCTGCATCTCTTTTTCCAAAGATCTGTTCTTCTCCGTGTTTGGTCCACCTGTCGAGGTGAAGTTCGAGTTCCAGATGCGCATCCTGAACTTGGCCAAGGAGCCGAAGCCGAGCGCGAACGCCCCGGGTGTGTCCGGCTCGATCCACTGGTGAAGAGGTGGCCAGGTGAGTCGGTTCGCGCCGGACAGCAGGTGTGTGACCCCCCCTCCCGGTGAGCGAGCAGCCCTGCCACACCAGGAAGCCTTGATGAAGGGAGATGGCCTTGGAGCATCTGGATGGGCTGAAGAAGATGAAGAAGAGGAGGACCTCGGATTAGTGCAATAGGGGGTCTTGGCAACAGGAATGCATTCGAGTCATTAAGCTCTATCAGATCCCGCTTCTACATGTTTCTGGAGTTTCTCCACCACAACAAATGCACGTGCCTGGTCAGTATCACCATGGTGGGTCCACCACCACGAGGATATGCAGGTTGTGCAAGAGTTTGTCAAATCACGAGCATTGATTGGAGCGCTAAGATGCTTCACAGCGCCAGGATGACAATGAGACCAGAGGCTCTGGCCGAGAATTGCCTGGGCACCCAATGGGTATGAAGAATTGTTTGTTTTTTTTTTTTTTTTTAAATTGTTTTTTTTAAGATTAGATAAGCGATGCGTCCCAGTTTTGGAAGAACAGCTGTGAGGCCAGGGACAAGTCGAGCGAGTGATGAGATTTTGTGCCTTGGATGTGTCATTATTTCATGATATTTCCTAATTGGCCTTGTCGGACAGAGGACTCCGCTTGGTGCCGTCATGTCGGCTGAGGAAGAATATCCACTCCTGGCAGGCCGAGAGCATGTTCACATGTGGTATTTTTTTTTGACGACGGTTCCAGGCCTTGATCTGACAGGGTGCTAACCAAGTAAGCAACAGTTTTGCTTAGCATTGACTGTCCAGCAAATGAATCATGACTGTCCAGCGATAAAGCTTCTGTTTGGAGGAGTTGGCTCTGGAAGAAGGGGTCAGATTTGATGATCCAGAGCAGGCGCTTATGGTGTCAATGTGAGCAGCAGTGCAGACATGTCTAGGTCGTTCACAAATCTCTTTGCGCGGAAAAGAAAGACTTGGACATGGCAATGTGATCGCTCATTCCCATGCCAGGGATACTTTGTTGGACACACTCAGCATGCCTATCGAGACGCCTTTGCTGGCAACTGGAGCAAGTTCTTGCGAGAGGACCGTTCGTCCTCAACCTGCGAACACATCACACCCCATCGCATAGAAAGCAAACCTCTTTGGCAAGCGAGTTCGTTCCGCAAAATATGTAATAAACAACCGTTTAGATCTATTTTATGTACTTACTCGAAGGAATTCAACGGAACATCTTCACTTCTGGCGGTGTCGAAGGGTATTCTTTCTTCCCAGTTCGGCCATCTACACTGCAATTCTGGTACTTGTAGGGTCACCCACACACGCAGATAACTATATTTATGATATTGTGTGCAGAAGGTTGACTCAAGTATATGAGCTTTATATAGGTGTTGCCCGGTGTGGATCTCCTCAAGAGAGAAGACCATCGGACTCTTTTTGGATGGCCACAGGATGGATTTAAATCTTTTTTTCATTGACCAGTTGGGCTGCTTGGTACACACCCCCATTGTTGATTCCCCTTCACAGGAACTGGCAGAACTTTGGCCTGCTGCATCTGCCTTGCAGTGCCCGAGCATGCTCGCATGAGTTACCATGATGTTGAGAGAACCCAAGTTCATAAACCCCTGGTAGCAGCGACAGATTTGAGAGAGAGTAACGGGTAACGCACGCAGGTACCAGCTGGAGCTGGAAGGCAACACAACCAGTGAAGCGCGAGCAGAGTCGCTCCGCAGGGAGCTGAGGCTTTTCCTTAGAACTGCCACAGAGGAGGAGGAAGGTTGTTGAAGAAGCTACTGTAGATTGGAAGAGAAAGCTTGATGATGTTTGCAGGCAATTACAATCACAGAGCAAGTAGCTACTACGTAGTAACAAGAAGCTACTAGGGGCTCCTGGCATCGCTACTAGGAGCAAGGACGCTACTAGGGGCTCCTGGCCGTACTACTAGGAGCAAGTAGCTGAATCACACCCGTTCGTTTGGAATCTTGACTCTGCCAGTTTCACCACCCGACTTGCGCGCGTTTGAGGCTTGACCCAAACTGCCCGTGAGCTGGCCCATGATTCATTGCTACATATCGCCAGCATCCTTCATCATTGTGGTTTGCTCCTCAGAACGAAAGAAGGGTAGAACATGTCTCTTCATCGAGTCAGACATGGCAGCTGAGCAGAACCCTTTTAGTAGAACGACCCATGGCGTTTCCAGGGACCTCAGGGCAGCTGTCTCGAACGAACTCCTCAGGCCTGATCCCCCGACCTCCCATGCTCCGCCGGTGAGGTGGACGAGATCCTGGAGAACTCCCGGAGTTTGGAAACACCACAGCCTGGGTCGATGTTCACCTGAATGCTCCTCAGTGGGAAGAGAGGACTCCGTTGGAATGCACGGTCTGCAGTCTTTAGCTAGGAACGGAAAGCAGTTGTACAGCCCAGATGTTGGCAGGCTTGTTGAAGCCTGTGTGTTTCCTTTGGGATTTCATGGGGATCCAATCTCTTTCAGCTTGCAACGGACCAGAGCAGAAAAGCGAAAGAAGTTCCATGCAGTTCGCATGTTCTGACAACTTTGCCGTGACCATTTCTTATCATTTCTTGCCCTGGACCAACTCATCCCTGTGAACCCTCGACACGGCCCAGCTCCCGGACCGGCGTGCCAAGGTGTCCCAAGGCCTGCGCGCCCTCTTTGCTGAGAATGCTTCGCTGCCAGAGACCTGCGCAGCGGGAGCCGATCGTGAGGTGATCGGGGCGCTATTGAAAAGAGGGAGGGTTGAAGTCTCAAAGTAGCAGAGGAGATCTGAGGGGAGGACTGATTTTTAGCATGTTTGAGCCTGGTTTAATTCGGTTTACTTTCCTCAAGTTGGATTTGGACTGGTTGGAGGTATAGATGTTTCAGACTTGGGCAGCAGGGTTGGAATCTATGGTGGGCAAGAGGAAGATGCAAGGCAGGCCCCAAACTGATTCTGGTTTGACTGCGTCGCAAGGTGTGTCAAAGCCACCCAACCGGTTTAAACACGCATATTATGTGGCTGGTCAGAAGAAAAGAGGAGTGTGTGACCATTCCAGCAAACTCCCCTTGCTCTTTTCGTTGTCTACTTGAAAATCTCCGACCTCCCAGATCATATCTAGATCCGCTTAAAGATCTTTGTTGATTTTTTTCAGAAGGCGGGCTAGGATTCTTGTGGTCCATGGGGATTATCTTTTCCAATTGGGTTTCACAGTAAACTCAACCTTTATGCCCTAGCTGCGGCCTAGTTTCTTCATGTTTCTTCACGCTCCCACACAACTTCCATCTCATGTGCCCCATGGACGAGGGTGACCCTATGGATTTCGGTGTCCAATGAACAACCCATGAAGCAACAGGTCGTCTCAAGCTTAGTCTGGATGTGGTCCAAGCGATCCTGACTTGGTCGGGAATGGTGAGGTTGCCAAGTTAATCCAAGTTGCTTCAACTGGTCCCTCCTTGGCCCAAGCTGGTCAAAGCTGGCCAGGTGCGCGCTGCCCTGTTGGAGCTCAATCTGGAAGCTTTGGAACGTCTCAGCACTGGCGATGGTCATGGTCGCATCGACGTGCTACAGGAACTGAGACATGCCCATGGAGCGGCCCTGGCAGCCAACACGGCTGCCGCAGGGCCCAAGGTGATGCCCTTTATCGCCCGAGGTCATCGGTTCTTTACGATGCCCCTACACTGTCCAGAGGCGGCCAATCAGAAACGCTCGGCACTGGAAAGGCTGTGGGAGGAGTATCACTTTGGGCCGCTGGTGGAGGAGGCCTGTGACGCATGCTCGATTTCATGACCTTAGTATCCTTAGTGCTTTGGGCAAGCATATCCAAGGAACTCCAATTTTGTCATCCATTTTGGTCTACAAACTCTGTCACTAGGATCGGATTTGAGATGATTTGAGGATATCCAGGACCACCCCACGTGCCCCTGCATTCCTGCCAAACCAACAGGCCTACCCATCGGAGTATCCCTGCGGACTGCAGGCAGGGTTGAGCAAAAGACGTTCAGCGAAGAACTCCATTATGATGGACACAGTTCTGTCATACGGCAAGTACGAGACTAGGTACTACACTGTAGAAGAGTGATCTTGGTTTCCTTTCAGATTCCTTCACAATGCCACTCGAAGAAAATGGGTGACTGAACTGCAATAAGAAGAAGAATCCCCTCAACTCACAGCCAAGCAAGCCAATCATGAAGCCACTTTAACAAGCCAGATGGGTCCCCCCAAAAAGACACCTCGTCCACCAGAGTCCACCTCAATTCCAGAACGTTTGCCATCGGCTCGACGGTGCTCGTGCTCGGTGTATCACCGCGTCCTCCGCGTCCTCCGCTCGTCCTCCGCGTCCGCGCAGGGCTTGTCGAACTTCCTGGACTTCCACCTGGGACGTGAGGGCGAACTCCTGGAGCGGCGCGCCGAGCCGGATCGCAGCGTGCTGAAAGCCTTGAGAGGTCTACTACATTTACAACAGGCCACGAGGAAGAGAGGGATCTGGAGGATTGGAGTGGATTGGAGAGGGCCAGAACCAACATGTTTTGAGTGTTTATTTTTAAATATGCGCCTTGGCAGTTGAACTGTTCTGAACGATAAACGTTTTAGACGGTTGCTAAGCGCAAGGTATACAGACGCAGTAGAGCCAACAGGTTGGTGGTCTATTTTCCTATCGCCTTTTCGCACGGTGGTGGAAAAACACGCCTTTCCTGAACATGAAGTAAGGTTTCGATGGGCTGATCCTTTAACTATAAGGGGTGGCCGGATGTTGAGACGCACCGTATCACCAACAAGTAGCTGTACCTTGAGTCAATTCCATGTACGCTGAGGGGGCCTTTTTGCATCCTTCTTAGTTTAATCATTTTTGCCATAGGTACAGGGAAGATTCTTGGCAATGGATCTTGAGTTTTGAAGATCAGAAGAGATCCTTTATAGTTTCTCAGTTGTTTGAAGTAGCTGCCACAATGGTATTGTCATAGCCTCATATCAGATCAGCCACACGTTTTCATTGAGAAACACCAAGTGAAGAGACCAAACTTTTTCCCCCATGCAACAAAAAGCAACACAAAAAATGAGGGGATTTGGTCGCTGGTGTTTTGTGTGCAGGGTTTGGAGGGTTCCCGCAACTGGAATGACCTGGAAAAAGTCCTGTGGGTGATGTTGGAGAAGACGATTGAGCAGCGTTCCAAATTCACACTTTCTTTTTAGTCAGGGACCGGCGGAAAATCAGTGAAAACAGTGATTTTAGCTGATGTTTGCAAGGTGTCCGTAAGGATATGCGGATTTGAACGATGCTGTAAGGATAGCGGAAGCACAATTTGTTTACTTAGATTCTGTTTCCTTTCCTGTCTTCCAACAACATACAGTACCACGTGTGACCACAGTGGACTTGCATACCTCCGCCGTAAGCACAACGTAAGAATAGCCATGCATACATGTGTCATCGTAAGCAAAACATAGAAAAGCGTAAGCCTTGCGTACGGCCTACCGTAAGGTTGATTTCGCGGCAAGAAAAGACAACACAGTTTTGAACAACTCTCGATTGGTGAAGTGTCTCAAACATGACCAAGGGCAGCCTACAATGAGACCAATCCATGGTGCTTAATAAGAACTCCCTCCTTGTGAGAATGTGAGAACAGATGCCGCTTGATCAAACGAATCAGACAGAAACTGTTGAATCAACATCTTTTCAACTTCCAAATTTCCCATCAACTTCAACAAGTCACCTATCTTCCAGGTCTTAGCCAGACCGGCCTATATGTCCTCTGGCTCGCATGCTGAGAGTGGTTTGGCAGCTTGGCGCGAGGCGGTGACCGACGTGGAGGAGGCTGTCTGGAAGGGGATTGCCTTCCCAGAGCTTCACACCGCGGTGGGTCAACTGATGGCAGAGTTGGCCAAGGGTGGCTTCATGCCCGAGGCTGGTCTCGTTTTCTTTGCGCAGGTCAGCTAGGTGGCAAAGACCTCCCAAAGACTCCCTGGAAGGTTCGGGAAATAGACCAAACCCCTAATGGTTGGGGCCCTTGACCAAAATGCACAGCCCATTTGAATCGTGACATGGACGCCCAACCCTAAGGTCTTTGCTGCCATGATGGAGCACCCCCCGGTGCTAGCTGGAGGTAACACACTGCCACAAGGCAGAGAGCCTTCGGATGTCCAAGCGCCTAGATGGCCTCGATTCCAAGGGATGAGCATTCCTGGATACAACATGAAACCAGTTCAACGCTACGAAGAGCGTGCGCTGCGCATGTGGGGTGATGAAGAGATCGAAGAACATTGGGATCCTGTTCGATTAGGACTCTCTTATATTGATCTTACAGCTGCCTGTGATTTACCGCTTCAAGTTGCCATGTGCTTTCTGAGTGCTGCTCTCTGGTTTTGGCGTGCTTTGGAGCTCCTAGGTGACAACTGCGGTGGAGATGGCTGGCTTGACCTCTACATCTTCGAAGATATTTGGGCGGCTCCGCCGGCCTCGAAACGCATTGCCATGCAGTACAGCTTGAAACGAGCGATCATCGAACTGGTGGACTATGCTGCCAACATGGCGGAACACCATTTGTTGCCCGGCGCTCGATTGGCGGTCCAACGCATTGGCTACCTGCTCTTGCGCAAGATGACGGCACGCTTTGGCACCCCCGAGGCGCTACTGACAACGACACTCCGTATACCATATATTGACATATATTGACACAACTGTTGGGGCCGTGCTGTTTTTGGAAGACCCTCATGTAAGTAGAAGAACTCACCCCGTGGAGTCTTCACTTCGCTGATGCAGGATGGTAGCAAAGTGATGGCACAGCTGAAGCGGTTCTTTACAGCTGCTCGAGTGAACCCCTTGTGGTCACCACCTTTGTTGCCAGTGGCGGATGCGGTCTTCATCGACATTCTCTCTGGTCGGCTTCATTCCGCCTTCCTGGAAAAGTTGCATGAGTCGGATTCGAAGCATGTCTTGCCCTCCACCGTGCCCGAATACACGCTCTATGAGGCCGCCCTCTTAGGAGGGAGCGATGTGAGCGTGACCTCGGCGCGGCACGAGGTGATGTTCGCGCTGCTCCATGACACCGGACGGACCTGGAGGATGGTGGAATCGGCCCTTCAGGGAGCGATGTTCCGACAGGATCCCTGGGGCTTTGTTCTGGGCCGACGGTCTGATCCGTTGCCCTTGTTGCCGGAGTTTGCCGCCGTGCGAGGGCTGCGGATTGACATGTCGACAGGGAAATCCAGCTTGTTGCTGGCTCGCCCATCCTCCAATGCGCCGGCCTTGTTCTCTTTAGATGATGTTGCAGCTGTACTCGCCCTGCAAGATAGCGAGCCGTTGGCACTGATGCTGGACCCTCCGGCTCAGAAGGGAGTTGGGATGTCGGAGTTCCCGCATCATCCCTTCCAATGTGCCAGCTTGAGCCCATCGAACCAATCTGGTGGTACAGGACGTCGCGTGGAAGAAGCCTTGGTACAAGCAGCTTTAGCTGTGCAGCAATTGGCATCAGGAACAGAGGCTAGTACAGTATCTCATCTCCAAATCTAAGGGAGGTTTTTGGGGGTGCAACTGAGTCATCCAACAAATCTGAGCAAACGAAAACGGCAACTTTTGCACCATCATCGTCACGGAAAGCCCCTGCAGGTGGCATTTCGTGCACCTTTTCCACTTCGGCCATGTGCTCAAGGCCTCTGCCGTTCACTGCCCAAGACACTTCGAGACAGGCTGCAGCAGATCACACAGCTGCGGGCAGAGGCAGGGAATTATCTAGACAGAAGGTTTGGAGCTTGGTATATCGGCCTGGTTGATTGTCAAGAGTACATTGAGTGTGTAGTGCTTGTACCAGCATAGCTTACAAGTATCACACAGCTCTTGTGGCCATTCCCCATCTCAAAAAGAAGCAGCGTTTTCGACATGTTGACACCACCTCAAAAGTGCTGAGCACTGTCACTGCGCCATACAGGCCTGGGATTCACCTTCGAGGCGGGATGTGCAAATCAACATGCAGGGTAAGAGTCATGATTCCGTACATGATGAGAATCATGTGGTTGCGAGAGGATATGCACACCCATGGACACCCATAGCCTTCAGAAGAAAACATCCGGCCCAAAACAAAAAAATCTGGCAAAGTCACTTCAATCATCCTCAATTCGACGCTTTCGACGCTTCCCTCTCTGAAGTTCTAGAGCCGCAGGTTGGTCCTTGAATGCCCTAGAATCCCGTCGGGTGCCTGGCATGTGCAAGTCCCTCCCCTGCTTTCAAATCCTTGATACTGAGGTATTGGCAAGCACCGGCAGGGAATATCCTGGACGTGCGGCTACTTGACTTGGCGAGTTTGCTTTCAGCGAAACGGACGGACGGGGTCTGTTTGGGTTTTCAATTTCGTTTTTTTTCGCCCCAGGCCCCGTCGTCTCGACCGCTTCGAAGGGCGACTCGTTGAGGCGACTAGGCCAGGCCGCGTGGGTCCTGCCGAGGTTTGGGGATCCCAGGCTGGAGGCAAGGAGCGGGGGTCCGAAGCAGAGGGTTGCGCAGGGTTGCGCAGTTGGTTGCTGCCATATGATGTGTTGGTTGAAATAGGCAAGAACATAGAGTACGGATGAGTACGGTGTGACATGGAAGCTCATTAGCACCAGCAATTGACTACTTCTCGTTGCCTTCTCCAGCTCCATGGCGCTTCTGCTTGGTGAGCAGGTGCATGCTGGTCAGCCTCTGAGAGAGCTCAACGAAGAGGAGCACCCAACTTTTTTGTGCACCCATCTGAGAGCCCCAGAGTTCATGAAGCGATTGCTGGTAATTGTCCGAAGATATCTGAAGGAACCAGCGGGGCCATAACCCCCCCACCCCTCGTCTTTCGTGATGACTATTATTCTATCAACTAAAACATACTGAAACCATGATTGAACATCTCATTCCACCATCAGATCCGCCAGCTGGCCCTGCCAGCTGCTTGATCTGCCCCTGTTTAAGCGGTCTCACCGCTGACCAGTCGCCGGGAGGAGTTCCGAAAGTGGCCGGTGACTCGGCTTCGAGCCGCCGTGGAGCGCGTGGACCGTGAGCTGGGAAGCCACCGAGAGGCCGTTTTTTGTTCGGGGCGATGTGTGGTGTGTGCGCAAAGGCGTCTGCGCAGTTCGGAGCGGAGCGGGGAACATCAGGAGTGGTCTGGAGAAGCATTGGACATTCATGAAACAGACCTGGGAAAGGGATCGAAAGGGCATGTTCTATGGACGTTTGCTGAGATTCATCATTTTCCTTCGAGTTTCATGCAGTATTCCATGTTGAAGTGATGTTTAGTCCTTTTTTTTGCTGCTAACAGAGATTCCTTTGAACCCAGAGAGGATTGTCCTGGTTGGTGATGTACATTCGTCCCGTTCGTCCCCACAGACCACATGACTACCCTGGGATCGCGCAGGCAGAGCTGCCCGCTTTGGAAAAGCAGGCCTGGCGCCAGACTGAGACACTGGGGATGGGCGCAAATCACGACCCTGAGCACTGAATGGAGTATTTCAAACGGCGGACTTCAATTCTGAGCTGTGCCATTTTCCTCATGGTACCCAAACTTCAGGACTTCAGACTTCGGGAGACGTCCTTTCGACCTTCTTTCTGATTAAGGATGTAGCATTAACCACAGGTTCAGCGGTTCAGTCAAGAAGGTTCCCACAACGAACTGCAGAAGTCATAGGAATTTCACCCCACGGACCTTGAAGGACCACTGCAACCCCAGGAGCTGGTCGATCGGCTCTTGCGTGCCACCGAGCGAGGGATTCTGATCGAAGATGACGAGGAGCGCTGGTTCAGGGTGGATTCTGGTCGTGGTCTGCCTTTCCAGCCACCATGTGGGTTTGGGTCAAAAGCACCTCTCCTTCAGGCTGAGGCTTTGTTGACTTCGGACCCCGCAGGGTCGCCCCGAACCGGCGGGTGGGATGGACAACACCGACGGCCGACGTCTCGGTGCAGGATTCGTGGAGTCATGGAGTTGTCAACGATTCATGGATTCGGATTGACGGAAAACAGCTCAGAACTGAACTGAACAATGCCGCCCCAGCTGCCGTGCCGTTCGGAGACCTCGGCGGCACAAGAACGCCACGAGCCCCTGCCCGGTTAGCGCTGGATGCGTACTAGCAGGGTGTCCTCCTTTGAGGATGGTTGGAGTATCAACTCCCAGGTTGTGTGCGCAGGGCACTTCCCCAGCTCGGCAACGGCGTTCAAAAACAGAACTTCTCCATGCAGCGTCCATTCTGCAAACGGCAGGGTTCAGGGATTGATAAGTACTTCAATAGATAATAACATCTATATGGCTTTCCAGTTGGTGTAAGAAATCCTATACTCCACATAGAGGTTTCTATCGCATGTCTTTCATCATGTCAGGAGACAGGTGAGCCCATGGTACGCTTCTCTCGGCGCTTAACGCACCACCTGGCAGAAGTAGGTCGTGCCTGGCCACAACTGGCACGCAGCTCGGTTGACATGAAATCCTGTTCTGTTCCAGTGAGGTCTAGGCCCAGGCGAACTGGTTCTTCTTTTGGAAGCACTTCTTGTGGTTCAGGGCACACCAATATAAACATGTGCCGGGCCAATCAGGAAGGGAGCTTGATTCCTGTACAGTCAGCCGGCTGACGTTTTGTTTTTTGCGGCTGAGGTATGGTACCTTTCTGCGCTCTGAGAGCGGCTGGACTTATTCTGAGGATGCAATTGCAACAGAAGCTTGGTGGCGAAGAGTAACTAGTGCATGTATATATATGTACGTGTAAAGATTCGCTCAGTATAGCGACCTTGGGTTCACAAAATGAGAAGATGACACCACCAAACCAGGGGTGGTACTGTGGTGGTCCTGCTGGTGTATCTGGTAAAGGCATTTCGAGTTGATACTGACCTCGATGTTGCTGTGCATTGCTGAAACACAGAACTCAGCCTTTGTCTCCTCCACCTTCCTCCACCAGTAGGTCCTTTTCGTCGCTTTGAGCCAGGTTCTCGTGAAGAGGATGCCAACAGAGGTTGAATGACCCAAACTAGACTATCCCATAGGTACCCCAGTAGGGTCCTAGTTCAGGTCACTTAACCTCTCTTGGTGCATTCAGCGATCACCAAGGATGAACGAGTCTGCGAACGCACAGCAGGAGCGCGGTTTGCACCGCACCGCACCGCGGCGAACTGGGCCCATGGGAGCCATTCATGGCGGCGCCATTCATCGCTTTGAGCGATCGTTTAGAGGGGATATCGGATGAATATCGGATTACTTGGCAGTTTGGAGGGTGTTTGGAGTGGAGGGATGTGGGGTGAACAGCTCACCTGTGCGGTTGTCTTTTGGATTCGGACTTGATGTGATTAGATAAGTCCCAGGTCCACACTAACAATGTCTGAAATGCCTGGGGTGATCGTTTTGAACATGACTGACAAGCTGCTTTTGATCAGGAGGACCAGAAGCAAGCGTCAGAAGACCATGCAGCAAGCATGCAGTGACAGCCTGAGTTGAGTGTGGAAGACATCTGTGTACTGTACAAGTGACATGATGTTTTTCTTGATTTTCTTAAGCGTCTTTAACCAATTTTCAGACTGGCTTCTGTTCTCTAATGCAACTGCCTTGTGCAAAAGTCCCTTTAGGCGACAGCAAGAAGAAGGCTGGAGAAGCATTCTAGCTGAAGTCCATGCTAGTGGCCCGGCTTCAGCTGCGAGTTTTTGATTTTTTGGTGTTGGGCGTTCATCCACGAGCACCTGCCATCTCTCGACCCCAGTGCCCTGCCACAAGGCCCTTCCTACAGCCGAACCATGCCGAACCCATAATAAGCCGAGGAAAACCACGGAACATCACGGAACATTTGAACATCAACACAACTCCCATTCCGCCAAGAAGAACACACAAAGATAGAAAACAAAGGGCCCTTGTTCTTTCCATGCTCCTCTCCATGCTCCCTCCACTGTAGGTGTTTTGGGCCCGGTCGACTTGGACCCGGCGCATTGCTTTGGGCCAGACGTGACCTTCGCGCAGTGCTGCAGCGTGGGCGACTTCGAGGCCAACTGCTGGGACGGCGCCTGGAGCGCCGAGCGCTGCTGCGGCGCGGCGCGGGACGGCGCGCGGCAAGCGACACCCGAGGTGGTGGCGTCGGTGGCAGCGCAACTGGGCCACTTGGAGGATCTGAAGTCAAACATATTGGAGGTCAAATTCACATCACCCTGACGTGGGCGAATTGGGGGGAAAGGGAAGGGAATAGATTGTGTTTGTTGGAATTGGAAAGCTGAAAGGCCCAGGGTCCAGCGGGGGGTCTAGGACTAGGATGATCAAATCCATTCTTGATAGATGCTGAACCTGCGAAAGTCAGCTGGGGGGTGGTGGACGTGTCAGCAGCACTCCTCTCTTCGACTGCTGGACATGTCAGTCTTCCCAGTCGACCCTAGAGCTGTCAGTCTTCGACTCAGGTAGCGTTTCCAGTCGAAGACCACCTCCAGATCTTTTGATCCCAGCAGTGGATGCATGGCTGAAACATCCTTTTGGGAGATCGAGATCTGGCTCCAGCGGCGAAACACGTGGCTCCAGCTACAGCATGGCGCTGATATCACTTCTCTCCGCAGAGGTGCGCTCGGAGGAGACCATACGCCAGCAAGTGCTGAAGAAGCTCGACACCGATCTGAAGGCCTTGAACCTGGGCGGCGAAGGCCCGGGACAGCACAGCAGGTTTGTTTATGACGCACCGCAGGTTTGTGTGATGTTCCAGGACACCCATGGTGTGTCCAGCCCCCGAAAGTAAGATCAACTACTGTAATTGTTTCAACTATATTGAATTGTTGTATACTATAAGACTGGATGCAATTTGTCAAATACCTCCATCCTCCCTCACAAGCTCCACCAACTTCCCGGCCAAAGTCCGCTCGGTGTGTGCTGGCAGGTCCTGTGTCCTTGGCCGAAGGCTCTGAGGCTTGGCTGCCGGTGGTGCCCTTGGCGAACTCCGGCGGCCGCCGGGCGCTGTACGCCACCGTGGCGTTGTCACCGCAGCTGGTGCCACTGGAACAGGATGAGGTGGAAGCGGCGAGAGAACACCTGCATAAGGTGGGCGCTGAGAGCTGGGTTGGCGCAGCCTGGGGCAGCTCTGGGCCAGGGTAATTACAGTACATGACAGTACTCACTCTGGGCCAAATGGTCTAAAGGAAAAAACATCAGGTGGGGAGTGCGGAAGTGTGTAGGGGGTTTATATTGGACTGGGAAGTCAAGGCCCACGATTCTTCCGGAATTCAGGGAATTCTTGCATCAGCTGGTATGCGCGAAGATGTCTCTTGCATGTTTAAGAAATCAATGTAGAATCTCTAAACCGAATCTCGGAAGCTGCCCCGGGAGTCATACTTCATGTTCCAGGTACCAGGAGTCATTGGAATATATTATTGGAATCAACGGTTGGTGGGAAATTCCTATAGTAATAGTATTAATTACGACAGCCAGCCAATAGGCTGCGTCCGAAAGGGAGTGAACATGTATGGTTTTTTGGGGTGTTGCGATGCAAGTGATGTAATTGACGCCGAAGAGTGCATCGCCATTAGCATCATGAGGGGCTCAGGAGGCGATTTAAACAGTCTTCTACTATTTAAGTAGTCTTCTACCAGGGTGGGAGTGGTTGGAACTCCTTCAGGAAAGGGAGGTGTGCGTCTCCCAGCACAATGTTTTCTTGTATGGCGAAGAGACCTAGTAGCCAGACGCAAAAGGGCACCCCATATGGGGTGGGAGTTCATGTGGAGGATAGGCATAGCGTGGGAGGATGTGATAAGAAAAGAGGTCGGGAGCTCACCAGGGGTCCTGCGGTCACCCCCATGACCATATTGATTGATAACTTCTTACGGAGGCTGGCTTTCGTCCCTTCCCTTCTCAGTCAGGTATATAGAGATAATATAGAGAGCACAAAGCCACATAATTTCATGAATGAGGAGGCGAAGTGAGGTGAAACATGTTGAGGACATCCCGTGTATGTCCGTTAGACATGCTGAGACGCATCAACGACATCATGCTGAACGTAACATGGACCGAATCCTGAAGGAAACCCGTTGGCGCACGTTGAATTAACTTTTGGCCTTGGGCCTTAATCGTCTTCTATTAGGGCTTAGGGTGGAGGCCATTGCTTAGAGGTTGGAGGCCACTCGTAGGTTTGAGGCCATCGCTGTAGGTTGGAGGCCGACGCCATTAGGTTGGAGGTCATCGCTATCAGGTTGGAGGCCCTCGCCAGTAGGTTGGAGGCCGTTGCTATTAGGGCGGGGCGGAGGCCATCGCTAGTAGGTTGGAGGCCATCGCTATCAGGGTATAGAGGCCATCACTAGTAGGTTGGAGGCCATTGCTACTAGGGTAGAGGCCATCGCTAGTAGGTTGGAGGCCACCGCTAGTAGGGTGGAGGCCATCGCTACGAGGCCATCGCTGGTAGGTTGGAGGCCGTCGCTAGTAGGGTGGAGGCCATTGGTAGTAGGGTGGAGGCCATCGCTCGTAGGTTGGAGGCCATCGCTACTAGGGTGGAGGCCATCGCTAGTAGGTTGGAGGCCATCGCTATTAGGGTGGAGGTTGGAGGCCATCGCTGGATATCGCTGGTAGGTTGGAGGCCATCGTTACTAGGGTGGTTATGATTCATTCTTTTGGCGTTCCGATTTTGATCGTTGAATTGGATCCGGTGGTGCCATTGAGCGAGTTTGGGGTGTGGCATGTGGGGAAACCCGCGGCGTAGAGGTGAATCCTGGAATCTGGAATGATGTGCCTCTTGAAGAGCTGGTGCAGCGAAATCTTCCCAAGGAAGATCAGACTGCAGATTCTGAGCTAAAGTGATAGCTGCTAAAGTGATAACGTATTTCTTTTGGAGATGTTTTGATCTCCCGTTCATAGTCTCCAAATGGCTTTGGGAGTTCGCTTCTGGCACGACTTCAGCAACTAAGGAGAGGCCAGTGCCACTGTCCCCGAACTTACGAGCTCTGTATGAGGCGACCGCGCTAACGAAGATGCTCGCTGGTACCCTGCAGGGGGTGGCCAAGGGAGCATCGGCCTGAAGCGCAGAGGATGTTGGACATCCAAAAAGTGGAGCGAGAACTGGATTTTGATACCAGTGCGGGGATTCAAGAGATGGCTATGGCGGTGGACAATACCCAGGTAGAAGGGGAGCACTGGGAGCACGGTTTCATTTGATTTCGAGCCTGCTCAGACAACTATGACGATTTGCTTAGACAAGCGAGACATGATCACACACCCAGATGTAGAAAGGAGATCAGTGTGAGGCCTTGCAAACAAGCAAACCATTGATCGGGTGCATGGAAATTATATGCCTCCTGTCAGGCAGCTGCTCAGTGTGTCGGGGACCTTAGATAAGTCGAAAGATTTGACAGGATTGATGTGATGTTTGCCAGGTAAAATGCCTAGCTGCAGTCGTAGAAAAACTGCGTTGGGCTTGAGCGACCTGTTCTAAAGTTGGGTATTTCTTTTTGGCAGAGTCAAATGTTGCAGTCAAGGGAATCGGACCCGACTTTCACTCCATTCCTCCCAATTTCATCACAGGATGTCACAGGCAAGTCCAATTGAATGACTGGATCCCCTCATGTGGGTGCGAGGTGTTGTGCGTACCAAGCCGACTCAAGTACTATGTGAATGCAACGTGTTTTATTGCGGGCGCAAACACGTGTGGCTTCAAACCATTTTTTTTGGATCGTAATCACGCATCCACCACCTGTATCCAAGTTAAGCCTCTCAGGGTGCAGTAGCCTCCCACCCAGATGGTAATCATATGGCCTACCATTCCTCTGAAGATATTACAATCTCCAAAAAATCACTTGACATCTGAATGTGTGCAAAATACTGCTGCAAGCCAGTGGTTCCCAGAATTGAGGTCGTATCTCCAAGGCAGTAGTTTCACTGGTCGGAGATATTCACAGACGTCTCCGGACGCCCCACGGACGCTCCAGGAACAAGAGGCCTCAGAAGTGCTGCAGGCCTTGGCCGACCTTGAGGCGAGGACGAAGAGATCCGTCTAAATCGTTTCGTTCATCGATTTGACGGGGGTGTTCATCATTCACCGTACTCTTAGATGTACATATGCCATTAAGCGTATATTAAGCATATATGACATAAATGTACTGTAGATAATAGATAATAATAACAACTATCTAGTAAAACAGTAATTATAGATTTATAATAATCTATATTTACTGTATAGATATGGTATGTGTCTTTTTTAGACAAAGCTATCATTCTAGTATGTCGGTCCGGAAGGAACACGTGCTCACGTGCAATTCGGAGTTCCGGAGCGGTGTTGGCCTGTCGGCACCTTGCCATCCTGTGTAAAACGACCAAACAGACCATGTATGAAGTCCTTTCAGTGCTTTCATCCAAACTCGACCAAAGAAGTATGTATGAAGTCATCCCCTTTGAAGTCATTCACACTTTGAGTCCTTTCATACATTCTCGATCATTCTTGTGTTTGCTCCTTTGAAGTCCTGGTTGACTCGTTTCTCAGACCCGGCCTCCTTCAGGAGCACCGGAAGGAACGCCGTCGGCTTCAAGCAAATAGGGCCGACATCTTGGCCATGGGTTTCCAAAACATCAACGAGGAAAACCAGGAGCGCCCTCTGAGTGGGGCCAGTTTGATGTGATGTGGCTGCCACGTGGCTGGCGGCCTTAGGCCTTTTTGTTTCGGCTCCGCTGATGGAGGTTGTACCTGACTTGCCAAAAGTGTTACACGACTGATGAACAAGAGAAGAGGATCCGACTCCACAAGACTAAACCTGATTTACTTGCCTTGGCTGGATCAAATTTCTCTGAAGGTTGGATCGAAGACTTTGATCTGCGCCCAGTGGATCTAAGTGTGCCAACTCAACAAGCTGTAGCATTTGGGCGTCTATGTCAAGTTTATGAAGATCTTCATTGTTTTTCAGATTGACCACGAGAGTGCTTGCTCATCATTTTAATGGCCTGCAAGGACCTGGAGCAATCTTTTTGACATTTACATGAGGGCAGCACCAGGTTTAACAAGGTGTTTCAACACGTGATTTGATCAGCTTTAGTTGACAATTAATACTTCACTTTGTGATCTTGACCTGCTCAGCCCACTGCTCAGCCAGCTGCATTCGAGGAGTTCGCCTCGCTCATCGTTTGCGCTACGGCAGGCATCTTTGCAAGGGCCCAAGGTCAGGACGTATACCTGGTTTTGCCTACGGTCCTAAGGTGATTATTTATTTTCCCATGCTATGGTTAAATCCTGTTCTGGAGAATTTCCTCTTCTGGAGAATTCAATTTATGTCCAGGCTCCTTAAGCAAATCCAAGTATAGTGTAGGTGAGATGAGCTGCAAGGGCCTGCGGCACATTGGGTGCCCAACCTCAAAGGATGTTGGAATGCAGGATGAGAAACCCCACTTCCTCATTTCTTTCGAGAATCCGCCGGTTGGTTGCTGGTCCAACGAAACTGAATGCACTGGAGCAATCTAGCAACGATCCAAACGAACGTGTGGAGGCCTTCTGGTTGCTGAGGCTGTGTCGATCCACTATGCCTTCTTCGTGCTTTGGTTCGCTGGCTACCTGATCTACAGGTTTCGGATGTGCACGGATCGCTGATGGAACGTGATGGGGCTGGGACTTCTGCAGTGGCATGGTATCCATACCAAAGACAGGATTTCTGAGGTCTTCATCTCTTTTGCTGGTTTATTCAAAGGATCTGAGAGGTCAAGACGCTCAGACTGCCAGGCGGTCCACACGCTCCGTGCGGCGTCAGCACACGGCATTGGAGAACCTGGAAGACATCACGGATCGCTTGAAAGAGGCGTGTGGACCGGTGCAGCGTGCCCAAGTGATGTCACCTCTACCAAACCAAGAAGTTGCTGCACTAGATTTCGAAAGTGACAGATGCAAACGATGACCAAACGGGTGAACCAAAAGATTTTGAATGGCATCCCTGGCCAAATCAAACGCATCTAATCATCCAACATCATCCAACCATGTTGGGATGGAGACTGCACTAGTTGGAAGGGTGCCGTTGGGAAGAATTCAGCACCACCAGAGACGAACAAAACATCATGGAACTACATTGGTAACTACATCTCAGTATTTTGTGTGATTTTTTGCCCATCAACTGCCAAAGCCTTTAATGTGCACTGTGCCACCATTCTCGCCTCAGCTCGATGCCTTGGAGTCAAAGCGCCTTGAAGATCTCCAGGCGCGGTTGCAGGTGCGGCATGCTGCAGTTGCAGGGGAGTGATTGGGTGAGAGATGTCGAGACAGTGGGATGTTTTCTGAAGTTGCACCAAACCTGCGGAGCACCCAAGCGTGACTCAGTTCCAAGGTCACACTCTGCTGGGACCCGGGCCATCCCCAACAACATCAACAAAGGAATAGAGTTGCAGAGTTGCAGAGCATATATTTCACAAAATCCATGTGTTTCCAGCCTGTTTGTCACTAGCAGAGCCCGCTCAATGCTTCCAAGCTGGCCACAGGCTTGGAAGCCAAGCGCTGAGTGAGCAGATGTCGAGCCATGAAAAGTACTGAGTGGCGTGACGTGGTATCAGGGATTTGCATATGAAGGCAGACCTTCCAATTGTTTCGGGTGAAACCTAACTTCTAGTGGCCTTGTCAAATATATAGTCCGTTCTGTTCACTTATGTTCAACCAGGGCTCCTGGATTGCCATGTCCCACAAAACACACAGCGTGCGCCGCTACATTGAGCTGTGCAACGTTGCGGATGAAATCGATTGAGCTTTTGGCTGCAGAATATCACACCCAAAGAAGGTGTTTCACAAACACAGCAGGATTGGATACTTGATGATGGACATGGTGTTTTTCAAGGAGCTGTTTGATGGTGATTCTCGGGTTGCTTCGCAACTTGCACGATCATTTGTGTTCACAACCAACAGTTGCAAAGCAAGGCTCGCAAGTCGTGGGTTTTGTCGCACGGCTCTTGTGATCAGGTGCGTTTCGTGCATCTCCCATCATCGTGCGTTCGTTCGAGAAAGTCCATAGGCCCGGCCATAGGCCCAGCTGGTGGGTTCGGCGCCATGTCGGGCTATGCTGGCGGAAAGGAGCACCGAAGGGAGGGATTGGTCGATCCATCACTCCCACGGCCGCCCCCGCACGGCGTCAAACTGGCCATTCGAGCATGGCCACAAGTTCTTTCACTTGTGGCTGCCCTCCTACCTCCACTGAGGGAAACGGCACCATTTTCCCTGGTCCATTTTCTTCGCGTGATCGAAGGGAAGAGTGTACAACAGTCGTTTTGGCATTTTTGATCCTTTGCTCTATAGTCAATTGCATAGATTTGTTGCATACTCTCTCGTCGTTTTGGGTTTGAGCCTTTGTTTTGCCATACTCAAACGAGTTGAGAACTTGTAGTTTCTCAACCAATGAGATTATGGCGAACAGAACAGGACCATCTGACCTGCACACCACTTTAGCTCTCTATAGTTGTAGCTCTCTATGCAACTTCGTCTCCGCTTATACCTATATTTATATATACAGAGCAGATCCAAGGTGCCCACAATGGAAAGGGTAAGTAGATTGGGTTCTGCGGGACTCCAGTTGATATGCAGAAGGAGAACGCAGCTGAAACACTCTCTTTGCTTGGAAGACTGTTCGGCACCCAGCTGCCAAACCTCATTTCGGGACCCTGAACACCCAACTGCGAACGGCCAATGCCACCCCACCCCACCCCACCCCACCCTCTCTGAGCAGGGCCCACCCCAGACCGCAGGGCCCACCCCGCTAAGACCGTCGGCAGGGCCCACCCTTGCAGCCTTCAGTGCTTTGGGCCCAGCGAAAAGACTCGGTCTTCGTCACCGTGGATGTGAAGGTCCACCGGTCACGGGGGGCTGGTCAAGCGGTTTTCGGTGGTCCACCCCACCGGAGGAGGGGCGGCCAAGAGGAGGGTCAAAAGGGAAAGTCACATTGGACGAAGATCCATTGGGGAATCAGTCTTGTCTTTGGTGACGCTCTTAGACGCTCTTCCCAACTTGTTACAAGTTGAACATATTCCCAACAACATGTTTCGTGACCAGACGGATGTTTGTTCGATCTCGCACGGGGTGTGACAGGGCTTCAGAGCCGCACCACAGGATGACCAATGTTTCGAGTGGAATGATCTGCCAGTCGAATAATGGTCAACCAAACCAGAATGATGTTCGCACATGACACGGTGAAGAGCAATCGAGGCTCGAATGAACGTAATTAATTATCTAGAGATAGCACATGTTTAACACTTGATGTAGGACCTATCGCACCTCCCGAAGTGCTCACATATGGCAGTTGGAAAAGGCATGAGAATGTTTGTAGATCATCCTGCTGCTACTAACCACGAAGATTAAGATATTGATATAGAAGTTAAACCACACGTCACGTCTCAAAACATTGCTGACCAGTGAAAGGCATGAACTAAAAGAGTCTAACAGACAGAGAGTTTGAGGAAATTGGCCAAATGGAATAGACAGCGAAGAAATCCATCCAGTGACAAAAGGACATGGAGTTAGACATGAACTAGCGTAACTCGCATTCTTTTGATGTTTTATTTTCAGTAATGATACACGAATTCTTGACTTCTAGCCAGGTTACGCATCCCATCTCCAACAATGCGACCTTTTCTTCAAGATTCCGGTCTGGGAGGGCTTAGTCGTCAAGCCGTAGGATGCTGCAGACGTCCACTTCCAGTTGGAGGAGTCAAGCCTCGACTTCGCTGCCAAAGGCGGTGAGGCCGGGTGAGGCGGACACGGCGTTCTCGCACACGGACCGTTTCGCAGCGAGAGGAGGTTACTCACGGAAACGTATATAGTAGCATGTAGTAGCCACCCTGCAAGCAATCATAGGGAGAGGATGTCTTTTCCGCATGCGGAGGTGTCACACTTGATCGCATGGTGTCACTTGGAAAGAGCCACAAAGAAGTTTCATCAGCTAGCATTGCCACATGCTTGGGGGGGGTACAATCTTGCATGAACACGATGCAGAAAAAGAGAAAACTTCAAAACGCCCATGGATGTTGTCAGAGGCAGCCGCATGCCAAAGGTTTCTGACTATCGATGCGCAAAAAATCTGTCAGTCGACTTGACAGCAGGAGTCTGGTCCAATTTCCAGCACCGGGCACGTTGTTGGCCTTGAGCCTTGCAGGATGGATCTGCTTATGCCTTCCATTTGGACCTTTATGCCCCAATTCGGCGGGAGGCGCGTGAGATTGGACACCCTCACGAGATTGGACAGAGTAGCTTCTTGAGGCGGTGACGAACGTTGACTTCAGTCTGACACTACTACTAAGATCTACTAACTAGAAAGCTGCAAACTTTGGTGTCATTTTATTCAATTGGATCCACAAACCCTCACTTTTGTCATTTGTCGGGAGATATCCGTTCGTGACCCACTGTAACCTGGAACAGTAACCAGTGCGACCCGCTCCAACACGTCGACGGTCAGGAGTCCAAGTTCAGCACGAAGCGATGCCCCACGTGCTGCCGACGACTTTGCGGTCAGTTTCGATGTCTTCGCCATCGGCCATGGCTCAGAACATTGACTCGGTCTGTCTCATTACCTGCAACAGTCAGTAAACAAGCAAATCACCATTTTAGAGAAACGCCTTTACTATCCTTACTACTACTAATAATGATAGCAATAATAATCATCATCCACTATTACTGGTGATAGGATAGACCCAAATTCACTCTAGAGGAGTTGGATTGTCGTCATTCGTCCTCTTTTTTTTTGCCAGGTTCTTTCTCCAAAAGAGCTCTGCAGAAAGCTGGCTCGAGCCTTTGTCATGTCATACCGTCTTTATCTACTGTATTGTCCTTTGCACATTGGTCCATGGGTGTCAGGCCACGGCTTCAAAAGGAAGGGAAGCTCCCTTGGGTGAGGATCCCAGCACGTCCCAGTTAAACCCCTCGGTGGGCCAGCGGCCTCGTGGAACGGGTGGGGGACAAGAAGCAAGACTCCACGCGGTCAGGTGAAGATTGATTGGCATAGATGGGTCGTGCCCTCAGTCCAAAACGCCCTTCTTAAACGCCTTCCTTCACAATTCGCGTCCGAGAGCGAATTCTCTATTTTTTTGGTGCCCGCTTCCTTCACAATTCGCGTCCCTTTGTGCGGGCACCTCTGTGGCGCGAATGGAGGCGGACTCGGATGACGAGGATGAAAAGGGTGCCTTCGACACCGGTGATTTGGAAGGCGAATTTTCTCGGGCTGGAGTAAACCACCGAGACCAGGATGCAGGATGCGTCCATGATAGACCATGGGAAGAAGACCGTATGTCCAGTGTTTCTTTTCTTCTTCCCCGTGTTGGTTTCGTGACCACCATGAAAAAATTAAGGAAGACTTGAGTTAGGTTTTCAACTCGAAGTGGAGAGCACAGGACTCCGGTTTCACATTTCAACAGGTCCACAGATCAGGCATTTCGAAGGAACCTCTTCGGACAGGCGACAATGGGCGACCTGGATCATGATTGGCATCACTCCAGGGTGTATCATGTTCAGTGAGTAGAACAACATGTTCCACCGGTTCAGAATTTTGGGAGGTGCCACTTCTTCTCGGTGGATCCATTGCGATCCGCTCATTCTCATACAGCGTGTCTTTCGCCGAGAAAAGAGCTGCTCTCTTGCCATCGCTGAATACTGTGGTTCACCCCACCTGGCCAGGCTTGGACTTCGAGGGCCATGAGGACAATGGGTGTGGTGCCCCATGCATGCACAGGAGATCGGAGTGAATTTGAAGGCACACATCAGACTAGAATCTATACAGACAGAGTAGGTGTGTGCCTTCAATGCCTTACAGAGTAGAATGTATACAGAATCTAATTAATTATTCTATATATCCCAAGACTAATTACAGAATCTATACAGACAGAGTAGGCGACGTGCAGACACTGGGCTGACCCGTGCTTTGCCATGTGCTTTGCGCAGGTCAGATGATCGAGACAGTCTCCTAGCCGATTTGGATGAGGACAGGTCGGGTCGCTGACCGACTTGGATGCCAAAAAAGGGTTCTGGTACATGGATGACAGAGTCCACAGGCTGGAGAAATACTGGATAGAGTCCGATCGATGTGCCTCAACAATTCAACATGGGTCTGTATCATGGACTGTAGTTATTCAAGAAGACCCCAGAACCAATCATTTGTACCATGGTGACTTGCAGTGGAAGGCGGAAAGGGCCCTTCGATCTGGAAAGTTACCCAGAACTGACTGTTTTCTCTTTCTGAATGCCAAAAACTGTGAAACCGAGGATATTGCAGTCTTCACCGACGATGAGGCAGCAGGGATGCCAACTTCGGTGGTTTTGAAAGGCAAAAAACGAGGCAACTTGGCATGGAACAAGAGAGAAGTTGGCTGAACATGTCAGAAGTACAAGAGACCTGCGATTTCCGCGATTTCTCCAGTCCTAGTTTTCCTCTTGTGTTTCAGGCTTCATGAGACTGAAGACTCCCTCAGCCCTCGGGACGACAAAAAACCTGGCGCGAGCGCCGGTCGAAAGCGGAGAAGCCGGACGTTTGGTCCGGTCGAGGAAGGACTCGTTACTTTTTGGGCGGAGTCTGGCACCAGACTCCATGTTTTCATGGTGCTTCGTCTGAAAGTGCTTCGATTCCCTTTGAACGCCGAAACAGGATCCAATCATTGTCGTTTACTCTTTTCGTCCCGTTTCGTGCTCCAAGTGCGGGGGGCCCGCGCGCGGAGGGGTAGAGCAGTTTATAGAAGCACACGAAGCTTCAAAGGTGCAGATCAGTATGTTGTCATCGCCGCCACCAGACCTTTGGGATCTTATCGCATGCTTCATGCACTGGAACCCACCAGACATGGTGAATCTTTGCCTTTAGTCCCGAAAGATTTGCAAGTCTGTATTGCATGGGAAAGTAGATCCGTGGAATGGTCTACAAAACATCAACCTGTCTGACCTGGACATTAGCGTGTGGTTTTTAATGAAACACTTGGCCTTCCAATGTCAGCCAGCTGGCTCAAGCACAAGCATAGCTTGGCCCAGCTGTTGGAGGTACAGGGCCAAGCGCCGATGGTCAGCAATGAGCAGTTCGATGTTTCAATGATCCGGGCGAATATTTTCCCTGCAGGCTCTTGGATCATTACTCACTTGAACCATCAAAGTTGATATCAAGTAGGATGTTGACACAACCTGTAGTTGCTGACCTGATGTTGATTAGTTACTTGATCCCACCGAAGTCTTCGATCGTTCGACCGATGGCCTTCCGGATCGAACTCGACATCAAACTCGGAGCTTCGCACAGGTCTCATGCCGCAAGTTCCGGAGAGCTGCCTCCTGGGCTTCGGGCATGGTTGGGGGTGCCTGGAACTTGGGCTTCCGGGAGCATGGAGTGGTCCCAATTCTTTTTTCATGAGGGTACTGGCAAAGATAAAGGAGGGTTTTTCTGAGTGTCTCGGAATCACGCACGGACGTAATATAAATTGGACAACAACGACAACGGATCTGAGGGTTTGCCAGCTTTTGAGACGCACCTGGGAAGTTTGTCTGTCTTCAGCTGTTGTGCTTGAGGCTGCGGAAGAGGTGCTTGAGGTGTCAGGCGAGCATGAGTGCGAGCCAGGCCCGGCTGTGAGGGGGTCTATTAAAAACAACACCGAAGATATCTGAATAAGATGATGGCGTTTGAAGGGTGGAAATCTGAGGTTTTTTTCGTTCTGGCTGTTGTGACACACTGCTTCTGCGAGGCTCCAGTCAGACTGGCGAAGATGAGCCCCTGGTGGAAGCCCATCGCGAGGGTCTTAGAGCTTTATGCAAGAGCACCGTCATGGATGTTGTAGTCGGAGGTAGTACTAGCCTACCGTGCTGCCAGCATCAGCTCATTTCGATATGTGCTACACTGTTCCCCAGAATCTGATGTCGTAGGGTGGACTTCGCACAGAACAGTTGACCTGATGACCAGTGCAATGCCAGACAGTCAAACAGCACGAGCCGATGGTTGTCAGATGTTGTCAGAGTTCGACAGCAATTGTCTGTAGACCCACCTTTGGTAGATTTTGTTAGCATGCATTGGGCTGCTGCAGCTCTGAGCTGGTGGAAGTCACAGATGGATCGGAATGTGAGTGAAAGGAGACCCAGACCCAGGAGACCGGACAACCAAAATCACATCATCACCAAAGGCCAGTATAGTGGGTTCTAAGATTCTAAGGTCTGGACTGGGCACCGTGGCCTAGACCCCATTTGGCTGTAAAGACCATAAGGATCCATAAGGTATGAGTCTTTGACTACGCCTTTTCAGCTTATCTTCAGCATCGCATCAGGTCCGGTCCTGGAGAGGGACATCAGCGACATGGACTCTCCGGCTGGGAGGGCTCATCGACTGGTCCGGTCTGATGTGGTTCGGATGACTTCGGAGATCTTGGTATGGCAGCGTAGTCCCAGAGCATGTCTCACCTTAAATGAGATGGAAGCTGGGACCCAACGCATTGAACTCAATATCCTCCCTTCTAGCGTTGTCTTGTTTTTTGGTTGACATAATATGTTGACAAGGAGGTTCATAATACACGCAGAGATTCCCAGATTGATGCTCCCCAGAGTGCGTGTCGCAGGCGCCCAGTGATGGGGAGCTCTCACCAACCAGACGAGGCACGTGCGGCCGTGCTGCCACGTACGTCGCCATGTGGCGGCGACGTTGGTTTTGCCGGTCCCAACACAACGGAGAGACGGACATGTCGATCCTGTGAGGCTTGTCGAAGATCCTGGTGAAACCACCAGACATGCGGAGTGACATGGAAGTGGAAGAGGCTGGGAGAAGCTCGGGTATAGCAGCAGAGGTTGAACGGATCAGTGTTTTTACTTTTTTGCTCTGCACTGCCCAGGGTGATGAAAAAATGCGCCGAGGATGTCCTCCAAAATTCACCCGCAACAGGTTGATTTTGACCAGTCTGAAGAGTTTCAACATCACGAGATTGGTAGATCTGTCGCTGAGATCTTCCTTTCCATCGAGAAGCTGCAAGATCCGTTTCTTGGGCAAGTGAACCGAAGAGTGCCCCAGACGGAGAATAGGATGGGTCCACCAAAAAGAAAGCTCCTTTGCTCCCAAATCCCGAACTCGCATCAGCTCATCCAAGATCTTGCGTTTAGCTTCGGGGCAGCAAAAGCAGGGGAGTAACTCGCATCAACTTGCGTTCGGCTGGTGTTCAGCTGGTGTTTAGCAGGGGATGATTCTTGTTGCGGTTTCTAGTTCCAACACACCAAAATGCTTGGACCCCAACTGTCACAATGCCCTTTTCGGAGTGGACCTTTTCGGCCTTTCGTGGGGTGCCGCCATGTCAAGCTTCAAGGGATACCCGGAACCGGCATGCGGTTCAAGGGATACACCCACTTCATATCCGAGCCTTAGGACATCTCACCCGCATTCCACGAAGGAGGAAGGAGCGTGGAATGGACTCGAGAGTCCTGCCGAGCCTAAGGTTTCTCTCCAACTTGGAGAAGTCGGTCAAGCGAGCTGTGTGTCCGGGGACCGGGATGAAGCCTGAGACCTACCGGAGGAAGCTCAGGTGGCACCAAAACACATCAAGCAACCTTGGTTTTGTTAAGCCTACACAAAGAGCTCACGTGTATTCACGACATGTAGTAGGATTGATACAGGCATCAGGCAGGGTTTCCACAGATCACCTTGTATGCAGCATACAGTTTTCACTCGGGGTGCCACGAATAGTTATATTTAGTTATTGGCAATGGTTAGCTGGGTTAGTGGAATACTCTTAAGGCTTAAGGGAATGCTTTTGCTGAAAACAAATAGTAAGGGGGGTATGCTGCAAGAGACTTCGATATTGGACGGAGTAACCTTTTGGTGATAAACGCACTTTCAACAACTCATTGAACTTTATGGTTTTGTTGTTCGATTGAGATATCGCATGATATTGCATCATACATTCCTGAAAAAGCATTGAACAGATGCGGCGATTGAGCTACAATTTGGGATTCACTCTTCAAAACAGCTACAAGTAAAGCGGCATCGCGTCCTGTAGTTCTTTCGAGCTATCTTGACACTGAAACCGGTGCGGCACATCATCTTTCAGCTGCGAATTCGGTTTTCGTCCGGGACGGCGTTCCAAGCCGGTCGCTACAGGTCAACGCCTCACCCTGGAGGTGCGGGTTGGTCGCTTGATGAAGAAAGTGGCACTTGGTGGTGTGTTGGACACAGAAGGGGCGGAGTGTGAGGTGTTGAGTATGACATAAGGCCTCTTTCCTGGCTGGCAGGAGTTCAAGGAGAACGAGCAGATCTTTGAATTTGGTGATCTAGGAGCAACTTTGATCTTGTGTCTTTGAAGGAATTAGAGTAATTAGAGCAGTCTCCACTCCCATGCACCATCATGCACCCAAAAGACTCCCAAGTCACTTCCATTCACTTCCTTCCACAAGATGGGGTCAGACATGGAAGTTGAAGACGTCGAAGACTCAGACAGGCGAGCTTTGTTTCAAGCTGCCGACAGTGAGCTTGTGCCAGGAGACAAGTTGTACATCATCCGATCTGGGCGAATCCAACTCGAGGCCAGGTTTTTCGTGTGTTTTCGTTGATTCGTTGAAGATCTGAGCAGTCTTCCACTGTGAAACCACGTGACACCCCCGGGTCAACCAGATCTTTCCGGGTGGTCGCCTGATGGAGCTTGATGCGAGCCGCAGCCGTTTCATACTCCAGAGTTGTCTCCTCTACTTCGGGATGGCACAGAATCAGAGTGGCTTGAACAAGGAGCTGGGCATGTCTCAAGCTTTGATTTTGTGTTTGCATGTCCAGCAAAGGTTCACCTTCCACCAACAAGCATGGGCGAATGAGAGTCTTTCCGATTGCCAAACAACTTGGTTGCTTACTTTGAGTGAACGCCCCTTTCGACTCGGCCGAGGTAGTAGCAACTTGATCATGGCCTTGGGTGCTTCACTCAGCTGAATTCGGGACGTGTTCACCCACCACCGCCCCTGAGTGCTTCATTCGGAAACCAACACCAGTAGTCTAAGTAGTCATCCGGCAACCTGGATGACCTCGTTTTGAGTGCCAAGGTGCTATGACCCACAGCCAAAGATGTTTAGTTGGGCTTTTCTGTTTTTCCTTTGCTGCGAAACCTTGGTAAGCCTCTCAAATTTCTGAGAAGGGAGTTAGAAGGAAAGATGGACTTGGGGCTACGGACTGTTGATACTGTACAATAACAATCAATAACACACACACATATGATATAATATATACTTAATCAAAGGATGTGCTGAGACCGAATCTGTTGAAAGAGTGAGGAACTGGACTGCACAGAGGAGGTTTCCTTGCTTCCACACGATGATTTCTGACTGATATGTAACATGAATGTGTGAAGTTCCAATTAACAAAAACTGACTCGAGACTCTTAACATTGTTTCTGGTCTTTACATTTTGGGCCTATGGCCTTTCCGTGCCGGTTTCAGACCCGGCCCTAGGGGCCCTTCATTCTCGTGGTTTGAGTCTCACAGAGTCTCGCATGTGTGCTTTCCTGACCCACGCACCTGTTGATTCGATGAGGTCTAGAGCCCCCAAGCGGCAAGCTCTTACTGGCAGCCAAGCGAAAGGCCGCTGCCCTAAATGGGAGTCGACCAGCGCCAGTCACTTGGACGAGCACGGACGCTGACGTCATCGGCCTGATTTCGATTTCGGGGGAGACCTGAGGGCCGCCTGCTTCCGTACGGCCCTCAGGTTCAATTTGAAGCTGTGATCAAACCGCCCCCAAGCGTGGAACCTGTGGGCCGCACGGAGAGTTTCAAGAAGCACTTGCTGTGCCATCTGCCCAAGGCCTGAGGGATTGAAATCATGGCATTTCAGCAAGGTGCTTGTCTCTTCTCCACAACCGCGCTTAGACTCTCTTGGACTGTCTGTTTACAGCCTGCAGGACCAAGTTGAGCATACCAATCAGCATGATGCGCATGATGGAGGTGTCAACTGATCGGGTATGAAGGTTGGCGCACTGGGAGCAGAATGGGTGCCATTCAATTGTCTCAGAATGGGAGCAGAATGTCGCACCATCAGTGTCCATGAAGTGAGACGGCCCAACAATTGACAGACTTCAAGGCCCAGTGTGGTTTTGATGAGCTTGGCTTGTTTGTGCCACTGGATTTACAAAGAGGGATTTCAAATTGGATGCTGATGCGAACTCATTCATGTGCAGCTATGTCCTTCCCCACAGGAGAGGTTGGCTGTGCCGACTCTTACTTTCGGGAACGCGATTGTTTGAGCCTTTGGGATGATTTCGAATGGCCCTTGCCACCAAATCAGGCAAGCTTACCATGATGCTGTGCAAGGATATACTGGGCATGTCTGGCACTATTGGGACCCCTAAACCATAGACACCCCATAAACCTCCGCTCATACCAAGACTGATGTTACCCAGACTCATACTGTAATGGATTTATATCCAGCTTTGCAAGGTATCTTTGACACGTTCTTCAGACTTCTTTTCCCGGGGGGGCTTTTTCAGGCAGCCTGGTGACCTCGTACGTCTTGGGTTCTTGTCTTGCACGGTTTTTGAAGATTCCAAGTGGCCTGAGTCAATAGCAGATGTACCTGGCCACTTCTTTGAAGACTTTTTGCATTCGAGGTGTTTAGAGTTTGTGTTCGACTTTCTGGGCTCCGTTTGATGAGCAGACAGACACTAAACGTCTAGAAATGAGTCTGAATTTCTGAATTTCTATGACTTTGACGAGGAGCAAAAGGTGGGCAACTATGGAAACCAGAATTACTTTCAATTTCCGTTCTTTCAAAGCATGCCGTTTCAGCTTATCTATCTCATCTCTTGCCCTTGACTCGGCAACCAGTCGCCGGATTGTACAGCTTGCGTTGGCTAAGACCGGACGTTTGACCAGTCTGGAGGAGCGGTGATTTTGGGCCAAGTGACCAACGTTCACGTTTGGCCAGCTGACGAACCGTAGCGGCTAGGCCGTTCGGAGAAAAGGGACACCGTGCGGGGGGACGTCGGGAGGCAGTCACAAGATGACCACCCAAACTGGTCAATCCTGCAATGCTTTGAGCCAAGGAATATGAACCGGGTGGATGTCTCCAAACTTGCCACCCCTCGCTAGGGTGAGTGATGTCCGGAGATTCGCCATCCGCTTGCAGGTTCCCGACGAAAAGCTGAGCAAGGATGGTGAGATGCACTTTGCCTGATTCCTAGCAAGCCTATAGTAACTATATCGATATCATAGCATTGCCGTGTAAGCTTGTTCCATGCTTGTTCCATTCCGCCACGGCAGCTTGGCTAGCTGCTTCTTGTAGTCTGAATGAGTGATTGGTAGATGTTGAATCCTTTTGCTTGGAGTCGCAAGAATCATGTCCGCTGCAAGCCTTGATGCTCAAAGGGCAAGAGGGGAAGACTACGACTTTTCAAGCGTGAAACATGAGTCAGGCTTTCGAGCACACCAGAGGAGAGACTCTCAACCACGAGTTGCCTGAACATCTTGAGATGATCAAGCTGTTTCTTCTTTTACTTGACTCCTTTATTCCAAGCTGACGCATTTTCTTGGCTTGCAGACCCAAGAACCCACAAAAAACACTGAGAGGGTGGCACTTTCTTTCCAAAGCCATGGCTTATCCCATGTCCAAACTCCAAGAGGAGGTCGTGGCAGCTGCCAAGGCTTGTACTTCTGAGGCGAGTCTTCGCAAAGCCTTACAGGATCTCACCGGAACCGCCGTTCCGGGCGGACCAACGGGTCCCGGCTCGAGTCCAAAGGTGCACGAGTCTCATAGTCATGGCATCCTGAGCAACTTGGGCGAGAGCTTGGAGGAGCTGGGACACAAGGAGCGCCCGGTCCGTCCGACGGTGACGGAAGTCTGGACGGATGGAGGTCGTACGGTCTTTTCACGACTGTAGACAGAGGGAGGAGTCGTTCGCTGAGTCAAAAGAGACTCATCCCTTAGTTGAAAGACAACGAGGACGGGTCAACATGCAGGCTGCAGCGAGGGGTCTATGGCAAAAAGATGCAAAAGGGCTTTTGGTTACATTCTTATTGGAAGAAACATCGTTCCGTAGAGCTCCGGCCCAGTCCATTGTCTTGCCTGCGGTCCACAGTAGGAAATGCCCATTGATAGCCACCGGCAGTCCGGCTCAGCCGCAGGCAAAAGAAGCTTTGCAGAAATGGCACTTCTTGGATGGTTGGACGCATGATCGTTCGCAGGATGAGCTGGGATTTGATGCGGCACGTTCTGCCGGCCTTTACCGCTAAGATTCTGAAAGCTATTGAAAGCTCCCAAACTCCTGAAGTGAAGTATAGGGAGGCTAGAAAGGGCTGCCCATATATATTAACACGGTCAACCCCACTTTCATCTTTCAGATCCTGAGATCCTGAGACAATGGTGCCGTCAAACTTCTGCAGAACTGATGCTTCATTGATATTGATCTCAATCCGGGAGCCATTTTCTCGTGTAGCGTACTTTGCCCACGTACTTTGCTTCACCCTTTCCGAAGCTTGCGACCGAAGGGTTTTCCTCCTGACCGCTGTCTGGCAGGACTACATGCCGGACGATGTGCTGGAAGTCCTGAGGACTTTGCGCGAGGGTGAGGGGGTCTTTGGGATGGATATTGGAGGCACCTTGGCCAAGGCGGCTCAGCTTCTGAAGCCTGGAGAGGCACACCTGTCACCCAGCACCTTTGGCAAGACTGGGACCTTTCATCAGGAACTCTCTTTTCAGTTGAAGGTGAAGGAGGTGATTCATGATGTGCACTTTTTATCTGGAGCCACCTACTACTTAGAGACTGGGCTTCAATGATCAATGGCAAGTCTTTTTTCGCCTCTCCCTCTGTCTCTCTCTCTCTCTCTCGCAAAATAAGAATAACTTGTCCAACTCGTTGCAGTCACACAGGTAGGCCTGCCACAAACTTGGGGAACTTCCATAGCAAATACGACTGCTCGGTGTGAGAGTTCTGGAGGATCACTGTCCCAACGACATTCACCCAGTCCCAGTCCCAACGCCAAGACTTGCAGATTTGTAATATGGACTCTTCCATTTTGGCCTGTTTGAATCTGCATTTGCACACCTACTCACTCAATCCTGACCTACATCTAACCTAAACCGTCTTTCTTAAACCATTAAAAAAATACGGCAGGCGCGTTTTTCCACCGACCTCGTGCATGCTTTTTCGATGGCCTGCGAATCGGACCCATCTTGATGCCCGAAACTCCTCCTTGCGACGCAATAACTGGGCCACCTTATTGTGAATAGATTTGTCCTTCACGTGCTCTCAAACACTGACAGAACTAGAAGTGGATGTGGCTAGTGATGTGGCTGCCATCGGGAGAACACCCAAGGCGATCTTTCAGACCTGTGTCAGACCAACAGGCGATCTGTGTGATGTTGTGTGCGTCAGAGCGTCTGCTTTGATCTATCTGATCTAAGTAGCTCTTCCTCACCACACGTCTTTGTGACGCCAAGTGCCGTTCTTTTTGGGCGAGCTCCGGGTCGCTCCGTCACAGACAAGTTCGACGGATCGATGGAAAGAACGGAACATCTTCGTCGACGGGTCGTGAGGTGTTCGGTCGATGTGTTTTTCGTCGGGGCCTGAGCTACATTATACTAATCCCGAGTACCTATTAAAAAACGGACCCCTATTAGAAAAAAGTCATGTCGGAAACCCCTAAATACGGGTTATATTTGTTTTTAAATTACCGCCCTTTCAAGCCGCTACTAAACTACCAACATTGCCGACTTTGGAGGAGTTTTTTTAATTAGGTTCCAAAAACAACCGTAACTGCCCACCTCTGTCCGCCCTGTCTATCCACCATGACACGCCGCGCTTACACCAGCAGGCTTTCCTTCCCCCAATGGCACGGACTCACGCAAACGCACTTGCCACCGAGGTCATGCAACACCGCATGGCACAGCGACATCACCTTTCGAAAGCTTTAGCTGTTAGTCTACTATTCTAATGAAGGTTTTTGTAGGGGAAAAGGAAGACCCTTCGATCTGGAGCTTTTTTGCATTTTTGATACGAGTTTAATAAAGGATTTTATATAAAATTTTACTGACTTATTTTTTGGTTTTGAAGCTCTTCCCAGGTGACCCTATTTTGGACCCCCCGATTTCAGGGACCCCCTATTAAAAAAAATGCGACCGAGGTTTCCTTATTAGGGGGGGGGGGTACGTGTTTTTTATTAGGTGGGCCGGATTACATTTCTTTTGTTTGAAATGATGGAATGTTTGATGAATTTCGATGAGTGCACCTAAGGAGATGGTTCTGAAAAGCCTCCAAAACCTTGACCCCAAGGGCGAGGGCCCCTCGTCTGCCCCGGGCGCCATGAGCCGGCGCATCGTCACGGCGGGCGGCGGGGCGCATCGCTTGGCAAAGCTCTTTATGGATTCACTGACGGTGGAAGTGGTGCCCTTCAAAGAGATGGAGTCTCTGGTGAGTGGATTGACCTTCCTCCATGAAAACAAGCCCAAAGATGAGGCAGCTTTGCCATTTCAGTTTGTTTTGGGGCCTCTTTGCCATTCTTTGCTCTGTCTCTTGCAAAATCGAAACTGTGAAGAGGGGGGTCACATTTTTTAAACCTTCTACGATCCTCTTTTCAGACCTTCTTTCTGGGCCTTCTCAGATACATTCAGCCACCTGGCCTGAGGTGTTTCAAATCATGCCAGATGGTTCTCAAGTGATGGTCGACTGGCCCGATCCCTTGTACCCCTGCATCATCGTAAACATCGGTTCCGGCGTGAGTGTGCTTCGCTTGGACGCCGGCGAGAGTGGGGAGCCCTACTTCACGCGGCTGGGTGGCACCGCCACAGGGGGTGCCGCCTTCTTGGGCTTAGTCAGGATGATGACCTCTGCCAAGACCTACCCTGACTGCTTGGCCTTGGCGCAGAAGGGGGATGCTACCAGGTGCTCCGTGGATGAACGGAGTTTGGATGATGTGGAAGGTCGCAGAAAAGATCAGAATAGTAGATTGGTAGATCAAGTGCGTGTGTTCTTTATTCAAGTTTCTTTCAGGAAGGATATGTCGGATATGACCCCGATGATGAACATGTCTGAGACGGATTTTGCAGAGTAGAGTTTTTGCCGACCCTTGTGGGGCGAAGCCTGTATTGCCAAACCTTTTCGCGGCGGTGCAGGGTGAACAAGTTGGTCAGTGACATCTACGGACAGGATGGATGTGGAAATCTGGGCTTACCGCCTGGCTTGACCGCTGCGCACTTCGCCAAGATCACCATGAAACTTGGAGCTTGAAAGGAAGAGATATAGCTCTTACACAACCAAATACAGCATGGTGGCAGGTTTGTGAAGATTGCTAGATTTGTTTCATGAGTAATTATTGCTGCTGTTGGATGATTAACTTTATCATTAAGACCTGTGAAGGCCTTCCAATAGACCATTCTAGACCAGCTGTCTTCTTGGACGACCTCCCAGCACCACAACTCACCCCGACACTGAGCACCTTAGGATTCTCACCCCGACTCACTACGTTTTGTATTCAGATTCACTAAGGAAGGACTTTGATCATCCAGCCTACCAGGAGGCAGACGTGGCTGCGGCCGTGTTGACCATGGTGGTCTCGGCGAGCACGGTCATTGCACGAGCCTTCTCACGTTCGGTGGCCGAGCACGGGTCGGAGAAGAAGAAACCCGCTCAGGAGAGGGAAGGACAGAAGGGCTGGGGGAGGCAGGTGTGACTTAAGCATCCTGCATAATTCCAGGCCAACACTGGTGGTGAACGAATGTGCTGTTCGAGCCGTACCTCGACTTGTGCTGGGTGTGTGGATCAAGCATCGTAGCAAAAAGACAGAAGGGCATCAACTGGGCGCGGCCCTACGATCCCAGTTGGGCTGAGGACGAAGCTTGGAAAGTTTCCCAGATGTGGGAAACACAGCTTCTGTCCCGGGTTGCCCACAATAGTTGAAGGTCATCAAATATCTGGCTGGCGGACGACTACACTTCTTCGAACCACAGATTTAAATTGAATTGAAGAGGCCAATCGTCTTCCACGCTCAGGGGTCAATGTGAGTTTCAGGAGGGTAGTGAGTCCCGAGCAATGCAGACATTGTAGATAGATGTATAGTATAGACTATTGTTGATTAATAACTTTCCCTACCAGAATAGCTTTACATCATGATCTTGGGGGTTTTGTTATTAATCACCAGTCTACATTATGCAAGAGGACCCTGTAAGCTTCATGCTTCATGTCGCTTTGCCCAGCGGCCTCTCTGACCCCCGAGTTTGTCCTCTGGCAATCCTCCGAGTTTATCCCTGGCCACTCTTGGTCACGCTTTGTGAAGATCGGCATAATTGATTGAAGAAACTTGAAACACACCGTGACACACCGTCAATTTCTTTGTGAGGTTTTGTCTTGCCAGGAGATGCGTAATCCATACTGAACGAAGTCTTGCTTAGTCTGATAGGCCATGCTGAGTTTGTTTGTTTGGGCCTCCCAGGACGCCTGAACCAGTTCTTGTTTTCCCCAACGCCTGAGCCGGTGTTCATTCACAGGAGGCTCGTGCTCGGTCTTTGAGCGGCGACTCCTCCCAGCCGCTGGTGTCCAAGGCACAACTCAAGGGCGCTGCACCTTATCCAGGTCGGGAGAAACGGGGGAGGCTTTGGGACAAAATACCAGATGGACATGGAAGTGGGAAAACACCTGTGTCAAGCCACGTAAGTACGAGTTTTCTTCAAACTTGTAGTTCTTTTTTGTTTTACTGTGTTATGAAGGTCGCTGTGACCCGGTTCACTTTTCTGATCCGAGCATCTGCACAGCTCACATCATCGAATTTCAACTTCCATACCTTTTTCCACAAATGGAGCAAAGCATATCAAAGCATCCTGCGCCCAGTTGGCCACCTCAAACACCGAGGTGAGCGGAAGACACCGGTCTTCTTCGTGGGCGGCTTCCTGGCGGAGAACCGGCGCGCCTGGGAGATCATCAGCCGGTCATTCCGGAACTTGGACTGTGCCTTGACTGGGACTGGATGGGAGGGGAAGGAGGTTGAAGGAGGGGCCAAGAAGATCTCAAGAAATTTGGGGGATGGTTGGGCATGGGATGAGATGTGGCAGATATGTGGCGGTATGGGGGGATGGCGTGGGGGAGTTAGGTAGGGGTTGAATGTGGACAGTTTGATGAAATGGTCGAGTGGTCAAACGAGGGGTTGGGGAGGGGTTGGGGCGAATTGGAGGGTTTCTTGTGCGTGATGCCAATTCGGGAGGTGTGTGAGAAGAGAAACCGTGTCCTCACAAACGGCATCCAGGTCATGCGGTGGTTTGAGGCGCAGACCATTATATAACCACGAGGAGAGCGATACTTGTGGATAGAATACTTGGGAACAAGGTTCCACAAGGTTCCAAGGAATCCGAGAAGGACAAGAGCGATGGTTGGTCTTAGACAACCTCTCGTTTCTGCTACAGCCACCTCGCAACCAAGGTGGTCCGGCACTCTTCCTGAGACACGCCGATTTCTTGGGAGCTTTGGGATGTTTAGCGGCCACCATCGAAGGCAACACTGACCTTTAGGAGGAAAAGAGTGCCCCACCCAGGCTGGGTTCACGGCTGTGACACATCGGTTCCGGGTGAAAACACATGGAATTGGACAACATGTCAAACGAAATACATTCTGAGACTTCAAAGCTGGTGGAGCATGAAAAATACTCTGCCAATTGGTTCTTATCACATTGAAGATTGGTCGCCATGCTTGGTAGTGCGTCCACACCATTAGTGCCTTACATGTTTCCTTTGTGAAAGACTTCCAGATTCCAAACGGCGGACCGTGGACTCACAAAGAACAGGTGTTTTCGCATCTTGGAGTACAATTCTTTAAAGGAAGCTAGTAGGAACAAGTGCCACGCTACTAGTAACAAGTGCATCGCTACTAGTAACAAGTGCCTTACTGCTAGTAACAACAATAATTAATCCTGGCACCACATGAGCTCCGAATGGGGGGGATTTCATCACTTGTAGCGGCTAGCCGCGCTGCGCACACGTGTTCGCTCCGACTCTGGATGACGCGTCCGAGTTGCCGAGGTGTTTTGCACATCCAAAATAGATCCTAACGAGCCAAGCTTTATTTTTTTCGATTTGGGGGAACGCGTCTGATCCAAGTAGGGTGCCATCCCAAACCTTCAGATTTGCCTGGAAGCATCGTGGAAGTGGATGGCATGGCCCCGAAAGGAAGATCATGTTCCTCTACAAAGTAGGTGATTTTCCACTTCTGTGATGATTCCGGGAGTGTAGATTGTTCTGCTTTTGTCTGCCACGGCCATGGTTGTTGTTGTTGTTGTTTTCTTTAATTCCAGGGAGTGGCCGTTTGGATGATTCAGCTGAGCAGAGGGTCATTGATTGAATCTACTTGTGGAAGTGGAAGGAGAGAAGATCTTGAGAGAGATCCCTGCACATTGTGGATGGTCAGGTGGTTGAGGAATGGAAAGAACATCCCATGCTGGTGACAGTAAAAGCCGAGCATGCCGCATTCCACATGCCAAAAGAGGATCATTTATCTACAAGGCAAAGCAACTTGAAGCATTCGATAACCACTGTTCCAAAGGCTAGAATCAGAATACCGCTCCAGCCATCTTACACTCAGACACAGTTTCTCAACCATGACAAAGATGCCCTTTGTTACTAGTAGCGTTCTTGTTCCTAGTAGTAAGGCCAGGAGCCCCAAGTAGCGTTCTTGCTCCTACGACACCCGTTTTTGTGTCCACCACTTCCACGAGGCCGTAGGTCGTCCCGTAGCAGCCCACTGGATAAACCCAGTTGCGGGCAAGAGCATCGAGCGAGAGATGGGGATCAGTCAAAAGGCCGTTCATTGCCATGTTGTTTTTTTCAGCAATATGCTTTCTATGCTGTATAAAATTGTTGTAATCCGGCTCACATCAAAGGGGAAGGACGTTTGAACACTTATGGCTGTGACTCAGAAACAGGGTGCCGCCCAAAACCTTCTTGTAAAGGAAGCATCAACCAACCAACACCTGTGGGTCTGCGGGTTCTGGGTCTTACTTCTTGAGTCACCAGACCAGACGTCACCGTTCTGATGCGATTTTTTTTGTGTTTTCACGTCTCATCTGTGCCTGTCCAAGCGCCATTGTTCGCGCAAATTCTCAGGTGAAAGGCGCCAAGATGGATGCGGGAAAGGTACCGATGACCGGTGAGACCGGGAATTTGGGGCTGGTGAGTGCGACATGCAGAGGTGGCGACAGGCATCCATGCATTTTTCTTGCATCCTTCGGTTGCCATCCTTCGCTCAGGTTGAGCATTGGTGAGTTGGTTTGAGTCAAGGGTAGTTGATGCTGCGTTCTGTGCCATGTTCTGAGCTTGCTTGGGTTCGTTCGCATGTTCTGTGGAAAAGACATGCCAGGTCTTTGGGGAGATCGCTCTGATGAGTGAAGACTGTAAGAGGAGATCCAGACCTCCCATGTGGAGGGTTGAATTAAGGTCTTGGCCATCAAATTCAATTGTATAGGTTTGTTTATAATGTGGAGTATTCAATATGAGTATTCGTCATCATATTTCTGGCCGTTCAAGCTGCAATAACATTACGTTAGTTGCGTTCCACACTGCTTGTACCTTTGAGCAGTAGGGCTCGGTTTTGATCATTTTACAGTGGGCCAACTGAACACCTTTCCCCCTGTCCCGCCGGGCCGACAGGAAGGGTCGCTGTACTGCCTTGAAGCGCACTGAGCTCCTGATCCTGCACCGGGATGACTACAAGTGGTGCCTGACCGAGTTGATTCAGGATCTGAAAAGAAACAAGGTTTGATGCTGCTTGATCAAACTTGGCTTGATGGAAGGTGGAGGACTAGAGACAATATGATGAGAGAAAGATGCACCGCCTTCCATCTCAGAGTTCTGTGAAGAGTTCACACATAATATAGAGGCGTTCAAGATGGCCTTCCAATGCTTCGTTCTTGGTTTGTCGTGCCTTGTTCGAAGCACATGGGATGTGTGTTTTGGAGGACATCGCAGCAGGTGATCGGTTCCGTGATCCGAGGTGTGTTGGTGCATCGCAAGAAACCACGGTGAAAGAGCGCGTGGCTTTCTTGAGAATGGCAGAAGAAGGCTTACTGGAGGATATGCGTGAGGTGGGGACACGTAAACATGCAACAACCTATTGACAAACACACTTCGAACTTGGGTTTTCAGTTAGACTCAATTGCCACGATGGGAAGGAAGGCGGTGGAACAGTATGGCGAAAAGTCGGAAGCACTTGTAGGTGTTTTAACAGAGGCTGTTTCCCTTGACTGCGATGACCAAGCGGCTCACGCTGCGCTTTTGCTGGGGAAGAAAAGGTTTAGGGGAAAGTATCGTGAAGGACCAT